AAAAACAAAAGAAGCAGGATAGCCAAAACAGCCCTGTACAATAAAGGAACTTTCAGAGGCATCACCGTCCTTGACTTCAAGCTCTATTATAGAGGTATAGTCCTGAAAACAGCTTGATATTGGCACAAAAATAGACAATTAGGTAAACGGTATCGAATTTAAAACCCTGATATTAACCCACACACATATGAACAGTTGGTTTTTGACAAAGAAGCAAAAATTATACGATGGGAAAAAGAAGGCATCTTTAACAAATGGTGCTGGCATAACTGGATGCTGGCATGTAGAAGACTGCAGATAGATTCATGTCCAAATGGATTAAAGAATTCAACATAAATCCAGTCACACTGATCCTCTTAGAAGAGAAAATGAGAGGTACCCTTGAACAAATTGGTACAGGAGACCGCTTCCTGAACATAACACTAGTAGCACAGACACTGAGATCGACAATTAATAAATGGGACCTGTGGAAGCTGAGAAGCTTCTACAAGGCAAAGGACACAGTCAACAAGACAAAAAGGCAGCCCACAGAATGGGAAAAGATATTCATTAACCCCACATCTGATAGAGGGCTGATCTTCAAAATCTACAAAGAACTCAAGAAGCAAGTCTCCAAAACACCAAAGGATCCAACTAAAAACTGGTCTACAGAACTGAATAGAGAATTCTCAATAGAGGAGTTTAAAATGGCTGAGAGACATTAAGAAAGTGCTCAACATAGCAATCAGGGAAATGCTAATCAAAATAACTCAAGATACCATCTCACTTCTGTCAGAATGGCTAAAATAAAAAACACCAATGATAGTTTATGCTGGAGAGGATGTGGAGAAAGGGGAATACTCCTCCACTGCTGGTGGGTGTGCCAATTCGTACATCCACTATGGAAATCAGTATGGAGATTCCTCAGGAAAATGGGAATCAGTCTACCACAAGACCCAGCAATTTCACTCTTAGGTGTATACCCCAAAGATGCACATTCATACAACAAGGACATCTGTTCCACTATGTTTATAGCAGCATTATTTGTAATAGCCAGAACCTGGAGGCAATCTAGATGCCCCTCAACTGAAGAGTGGATAGAGAAAATGTGGTACATTTATACAATGGAGTACTACTCAGTGGAAACAAACAATGGCATCTTGAAATTTGCAGGCAAATGGATGGCACTAGAAGAAACCATCACGAGTGAGGTAACCCAGCCACAAAAAGACAAACATGGTATGTACTAACTCATATATGGAGTTTAGAGATGAATCACGGGACTGCCAGTGTACAATCCCACTGCCAGAGAGGCAGGGAAACAGGAAGGACCCTAAGAGAGATATACATGGTACCCCAGAGAAGGTGTAATGAGGCAAGACCTCCTGAGCAGATTGGGAGCATGGGGTGGGGGAGGGAAAGGGAGGCAGGAAAAAGAGAGGGAGAGAAGAGGAGGGAAGTGGAGTACATGGGGGGAACAGGAAGGACGAGTTGGGTGAAGAATAGAGGAGAGCAGGATGAGAGATACCATAATACAGAGAGTCATTCTATGTTTGAGGGGAGATGTGGCACTAGTGAGATCTCCGGAGATCTAAAAGGATGACACCAACTGGCAAACTAAGCAGTAGTGGAGAGACTTCTTTAAACGCCCCTCCCTAATAATGATTTTGACGACTATCTTACATACCATCCTAGAACCTCCATTCAGTGACAGACAGAAGCAGAGGCAGACACCCACAGCTAAACATTGAACTGGGCTCCTGGAACCCAGTGACAGGGAGGAGTGATGAGCAAAGGTGTCAAGACTGGGCTGGTGAAACCCAGAGAAACAGCTGACCTGAACAAGGAGGAGATCTTGGACCCCAGCCTGATGGCTGAGAGGCCAGCATGGGACTGATCCAGATCCCCTGAATGTGGGTGTCATTGAGGAGACCCAGGCAATCTATGGGGCTTTGGTTAGTAGATCAGTATTTATTCCTGGCACACGAATGGACTTTGGGTACCCATCCCACAATGATGGATGCTCTCTCAATCTGGACACTTGGGGGAGGGCCTGGGCCCTCCATGGAATGAAATGACAGACTCTAGAGATCTCCCATCGAGAGCCTTACCTTCCCTGGGGAATGGAGTGGGGATTGGGTGGGGGGCTGGGGGGACTGGTGGGGTGTGTGTGTGTGGAGGGGAGAGAGAGGGAACTCAGACTGAAATGGGAAGCAAGATTGTTTCTAATTTAAATATATAATAAAAAAGTGTTAAAAAAGATGAAAAGCTAAGGAAGTAGTAGGATTGCACCAAGAAAAAAAGTTATCTCAAGTTAACAATTCAATAATTCATCTTAAAACCTTGGAAAAATAAGAACAATAAAAATTCCAAAACAATAGCTAGGAATACCCCAAATCAGGACTCAAATTAAGGAAATTAAATAAAAAACAAATAAATAAAAACCAACACAAAGAATCAATAAAATGGAGAGCTGGTTCTTTAAAATAAATTAACAAACCCTTAGTCAAATTAAACAAAAGAAAGATGGGAGTGCTTAGTAAAACAGAAATTAAAAGAGGTACATAAAAACATTTTCCAACAAAATTCAGAAAACATAAAAACATGCCTTAAGAATGTATATTTCACAAGCTTGGAAGACCTAAAGGAAATGGAAGAATGTCTAGATGCATTCAACATATCAAAATTAAACCAAAATGAAAGAAATAGTTGAAACATCTCCACAACCAGGATCAAAACTGAAGAGATAATAAAATTTCTTCTAAGAAACATCCATGGATTAACCACAAAATTCTACCAGAACATCAAAGAAGAATTAACATCAATACAACTCAAATTAATTTCATGAAATAACAATGGAAGGAAGGATTCTGTGCTTGCCAGCTTTTATTGTCAATTAGACACAACCCCCAAATACCTGATAAGAGAGGTCTGCAACTAAGAATTAAGAGTTGTCTCACTCAGACTGGCCTGTGGCGATGTCTGTGAGGAATTGTTTTGCTTGATTGATGTGTCAGTGTGGATGTCATCATCCCTAGGCAGGCAAGTGTAGGTTGTATAGGAAAGTTAGCATGGAGCAAGACAGAGTTTGAGAGTGAGTCAGTAAGAAGTACTCCACACAGTTTCTGCATCAGTTCCTGCTTCAGTTTCTCCCCTGACTTCCCTCAGTGATGGACTATAACCTAGAAGTGTAGGTTGAAATAAACTTTTTGCTCTTGATTTTGGTTAATGGTTTATTACAGCAAAAGAAAGCAAACTAGAAACATTTCTAAATTCATTACTTTTTAATGCTAAAAATTACAGAAAAATGAAAAGATGAAAATTGTTTACTGTATCCTATACCCTATACAGCTGAAAATGTATGCATATATTTGGTCATATGATAACTAAGAGTTATTGAGGATGATGAGTTGATATATTTCTGCCAAAAGTATAATGGGAATCATTATATTTTCATCTTTGTTGTTGTAGGTAGAACCAACATATTTTCTTAAGGATAATGAGCCTCTGGAGAAGATAAAATTTGGTACATTTTCTTTTGAGGTTTTGTGTAGGAGGAATGATGCAATAGTGAAGTATATGTAATTACACTTTCCCCTATTATCCAGAAAATGAATGTAAAGAACTGTATTTCCCTTATCAATATAATGGTCTTCTCATGTGCCACTGAATTGATTTCTATTAAGGCTCTATTTACTGTGGTGAGATGCCTTGGAAATTAGCCCTGATCAACATAAATGCTCTTTAGGTGAGTAGACCTTGAGCAAATAGCTAAACATTTCAAAGTTTGCTTCTTTATTGAGTCAGAGATACATAGACTTCTTTCTATATTCGTATTTATTTATTGTAAAATTTTGTTCAAAGACACATAGAAATAAGAAAAAAGTAACGATGAATTACAAACCCATATATACTTCAGAACTAGTCTATTAACCATGACTCTTGTATGTTGAAGTAAGGAGAGCTTTCTTAATTAGGTTAGAAAGTTAGATACAAGCAACATCTAATAACATCAATTTTAAAAATGTGGTTTCTAGGTTTTGATTTAAAGCCCATCTGTTTTGGCTGCTGTAAAGCCCTGGCTATAGACTAGAAGTAGTCCACAGACAAACCTGGACATAGACAGTAGTCCATAGACAAGAATTCAACACCATGGCTTCAAATTCTTACATAATTCGCTCAGAACCTCTTCCTTCTCTGTCCTCATCATCCATTTTCTTCACACAACAAACCAAAGGGACTAAGTGTGCCTGTGTTCATAGTCCCACCTACATAGGACCACAGATACACTAAATAGTTTTGCTTAGACCCTCTAACAGACAGATGCAGAATCACAAAAATGTTCAAATGGCATTGTGTACATGGAACCTAGTATATGAACCTTCCAAATTACATCTATTGTAGAGAAAAGCTTCACTCTGTAGACTACAGCACTTTATTTTTAAATTTAATTAATTAATTTTACAACTCAACCATGTTTCATCTCCCTGTTATTCTTCTATTTCCTCCCCCAACTCCCCTTACCTCCTAATCTACTCCTCTTCTGTTTCTGTTCAAAAAGTGGCAGACCTCCCATGGCATATCAAGTTGTGGTAAAGCTAAGCATCCCTCCTTGTATTTAGGCTGGGCAGGGCATTCCAGTATGAGGAATAGGTTTCCAAGAGCCAGCCAAATCATTAGGGACAGCCTCTACTCCCATTGTTAGGAGTAGCACAAATAAACAAAGCTATACAACTTCACATATATGTAGAGGGCCTAGGTCAGTCCCGTGAAGGTTCCTTGGTCATTGGTTCAGACTCTGTGAGTTCCTATGAGAAAGGTTGGGTGTTTCTGTGGGTTTTCTTGTTATGGCTTTGAATTGTAATGTGTAGCTTGTATCATGATAATAGTAGGCACATTTGCCTGAGAACAAACTGATGAGAGGACTCTTGGTGATCTGACTAATACTTGAATATTTTGATCCACACTGAAGGCATAATTTTAAAATCATGAATAAATTCTCTCAGAAACCCAGTACTTACATATTGCCAAATAGGAGTTTTTATCTTTGAAGCCAACGTCAGTTCAAATGTTGTTAAGTACAAGCCTATCAGTGTTGCGAAGACGCTTAAGATATTCATTGTCAGAGTCCAGATCAGCTAGAACAGATTAAAAGTATTGTTCAGTCACTGGAAATTATCCCATATTAATCTCAAGTGTATTCTTGTAGAAAAACTATAGAAACTCTAATCTTTCTGGAATAGTGAGGTCACCAAAAAGGTTATCAGAACTGCATATTGGTTAGGTTTCTATCAGGACCAAATAATTTGGAGTGATAGTAAAACTTTTAGTATGATGTATATATGTATGTATTTCTCTACTTGTGATAAAACTTTTGATAGTATGAGCATATATTTATTTCTCTATTGATAACTTATTGAATGCCTCTTCTGTGCTGAATTAATAAAGAGATAGAAAAGAACTGTGCTGTGCATTGGGTATTTTTTTAGACTGTAGAAGAAAATCAAGTACCTACTAAATATAACTAAAATATAAAAATATACCCATGATATTGAAAAATTCACAACACCACACAGCTTTACATTACCAGAGATCTAATATTCTAGGGGATTGCTATGGTTCTTGGACAGCAGGTAAATAAAATTTAGCTAATTTTCTTGGCATACAGTTGCTATCTAGCTCAATATGAAGATTTTTTTCTTGATGATGTAAGGAGTTACACACTGTTGGAGGTCATTCCCCAGGCTACATGTATGTATGATTCTCAAGCTACATACTTCAGAAAATTTATGCTTAATGTTGCTAAATAATTGTGCTTTATCCACATAAAATGCCAGGGAGGTGAAATATAATTTAATATTGGTATTAAAAGGAATCATTTTTGACACTGCACATCCCATCCCTAAGGGAGTCAACCTGCCCAGAGACTGCCAGCATCCAGTCTCCACTCATGGAACAGGCAAGGTAAGTGCAGGCCTGTTTCTGGCCCACCTTCCGGTGCCCTGCACAGAATCACTTGAGACCTAGGGACTGCACTCTGGAATCCCATCCCGATGGGATTCAGCCTGCCCAGAGACTGCCAGCACCATAGTCCCTTTCTCCACCCATGGGACTAGGTAATCCTGGGCCTGTTTCCTGTTTCCAGCTCACCTTCCAGTGCTCTGCTCACAACTAGCTGAGGCCAGGGGACTGCACACTGCACCTCCCACCCCGGCAGGAGTCAACCCACCCAGAGACTGCCGGCATCCTGGCCCCCTTTTCCACCCATGGAACTAGGTAGGCCTGGGCCTATCTCTGGACTGCTTCCAGTGCCCTGTGGGCAACCAGCTGTGACATGGGACTGTACCCTGTGCATCCCATCCCAACCAGTCTGCCCAGAGACTGCCAGTGTCCAAGTGTCAGTCTCCACCCACTGTTCAGGTGAGGTAAGGGGACAGACAAGGTAAACTTGGGCCTGTTTCTGGCCTGCCTTCTGGTGTCCTGAGCAGAACCACCATAGACCTGGGAACTGGGCACTGTGGATCCCATCCTGACAGGGTCCAGCCTACTCAAATCTGCCAAGGCCCTGATACTAGGACCACCACCATCCATGCAAGAGGAGAGCCACCAGAGTATTGGAAGTGCTTGCACCCACTGGAAGGGAACTGTAGTCATGTACCCACCAGGATAGAAAGAGATTCCTTCTGCACCCACTGGAAGAAGTGATGGGAAGGAGACAATATAAAAACATTCAGCCACAGAAAAACCCGTATGACACCACCAGAGTCTAGAGACTCTACACCAGCAGGACCTGAACACCCCAATTCAGATGAAGCAGAAGAGAATGACCTTAAAAACAACTTCATGAAAATGATAGAGGCCATCAAAGAGGATATGAGAAAATCCCTTAAAGAAATAACAAACCAAAAAATGCAAGAAATGGAAGAAAAAACAAGCCAAAAAAATCCAATAAATTCAAGAAAGAGAGGAAAAGACAAAGCAAAAATTGCAAGAAACAATTCAAACAGTGCAAGGGTTGAAAGCTGAAATAGAGACAATAAAAAAACCACAGTCTGAAGGAATGCTGAAAATAGAAAAGCTGGGCAAATGGTCAGGTACTACAGATGCAAGCATAACCAACAGAATACAAGAGATGGAAGAGAGAATCTCAGGTGTTGAAGATACACTAGGGGAAATAGATTCATTGACGAAAGAAAATCTGAAGTCCAAAAAATCCCTAACACAAAATATCCAGAAAATATGGAACACGGTGAAAAGACCAAACCTAAGAATAACAGGCATAGAGGAAGATAAAGAAAACCACTTCAAAGGGGCAGAAAACATATTAAAAATCATAGAAGAAAACTTTCCCAACTTACAGAAAGACATGCCAATGAAAGTACAAGAAGCCTACAGTGAGCCGCAAAAGGAAGTCCCCTTGTCACATAATAGTAAAAACCCTGAACATACAGAATAAAGAAAGAATATTAAGAGCAGCAAAGGAAAAAGGCCAAGTAACATACAAAAGCAAACCTATCAGAATCATACCTGACTTCTCCATGGAAACTCTGAAAGCCAGAAGGTCCTGAGTAGATATTCTACCAACACTAAGAGACCATGGATGCCAGCCCAGAATGCTATATCCAGCAAAGCTTTCAATCATTAAAGATGGAGAAAACAAGATATTCCACAACAAAACCAGATTTAAACAATATGTATCCACTAACTCAGCCCTACAGAAAGTTCTGGAAGGAAAACTCCAACCCAAGGGAGTTAACTACTACCAGAAAACATAGGCAATAGATGATCCCACCTTACCAAAGCCGAAAGAGAAAAGAGGTGGAAATCCACATATAATTCCATCACCAACAGCCATTCCAAAACAAACAAGAATGAGCAATCAAAGGCCATTAATATCCCTCAATATTAATGGTCTTAACTTGCCCATAAAAAGACACAGGCCAGCAAAATGGATTCAAAGACAGAACCCATCCTTCTGCTGCATCCAAGAAACACACCTCAGCCTCAAAGACAGACATTACCTCAGAATTAAGGGTTGGGAAAAGATTTTCCAATCAAATGAACCCAAGAAACAAGCAGGGGTAGCAATCATAATATCTAACAAATTAGACTTTAAAATAAAATCAATCAAAAGAGATGAAGAAGGGCATTTCATACTTTCCACAGGAGAAATCCACCAAGATGAAGTCTCAATTCTGAACATCTATGCCCCAAATACAAAGGCATCCACATCCATAAAAGAAACATTACTAAAACTCAAATCACATATAAAGCCCCACACACTTATAGTGGGAGACTTCAACACGCCACTCTCACCACTAGACAGGACTATCAGACGGAAACTTAACAAAGAAGCAAAGAAAGTAATAGAAGTTACGACCCAACTGAGATTCACAGACATCTATAGAACATTCCATCCAAATAAAAATGAATATACCTTTTTCTCAGCACCACATGGAACCTTCTCAAAAATCTACCACATACTTGGCAACATATTAAACGCCCAAAATTGGAGTAACTGCATGCACCTTATCAGACCACCATGCTTTATAATTAGAATTCAACAACAACACAAATTGCAGAAACCCTACAAACTCATGGAAATTGAATAATGCACAATTGCACCATTCCTGGGTCAAATAAGAAATAAAAAAGTAATTAAAGACTTCCTAGAACTCAATGAATGAAGACACAACATAACCAAACTTACGGGACACTTTGAAAGCAGTGCTATGGGGGAAGTTCATAGCACTAAGTGCCCAAGTGAAGAAACTGGAGAATAGTTACACTAGAGAATTAACAGCACAACTGAAAGCTTTAGGATACAAAGAAGCAAACTCACCCAGGAGAAGTAGACACCAAGAAATTATCAAATTGAGTTCTGAAATCAATAAGTAGAAACTAGGAAAACAATACACAGAATCACTGTAATGAAGAGTTGGTTCTTTGAGAAAATCAACAAGATTCACAAAACTTTATCCAAACTTAATCATCAGTTCGTACTTTGAAAACCTGTACTCCACAAAATTCGAAAATCTAAAGGAAATGGGCAATTTTCTGGATAGATATCACTTGCCAAAATTAAATCAAGAACAGATAAGCAATTTAAATAGACCTATAACCACTAAGGAAATAGAAGTAGTCATCAAAAGTCTCCCAACCCATAAAAGCCCAGGGCCAGATGGCCTCAGTGCAGAATTCTACCAGAAATTCAAAGATCAGCTTATACCAATTCTCCTCAAAGTATTCCATGCAATAGAACCAGAAGGGTCTTTGCCAAACTCTTTATGAGGCTTCAATAACCTTGATACCCAAGCCACACAAAGATACAACTAAGAAAGAGAACTTCAGACCAATTTCCCTCATGAACACTGATGCAAAAATACTCAGTAAAATAGTGGCAAATCAGATCCAAGAACACATCAGAAAAGTCATCCACCATGATCAAGTAGGTTTCATCCCAGGCATGCAAGGATGGTTCAACATACGAAAATCCATCAATGTAATCCACCACAGCCACTTTAGAAGTCAGTATGGAGATTCCTCAGGATAATGGTAGTCTACCACAATACCCAACAATTCCACTCTTATGCATATACCCAAAAGACGCACATTCATAGAAGCACACCCAGTCCACTATATTCATAGCAACATTATTTATAATAGCCAGAACCTGGGAGCAACCTAAATGCCCCTCAACTGAAGAGTGGATTGAGAAAATGTGGTACATTTACACACTGGAGTACTATTCACTGGAAAATGCAATGGAATCTTGAAATTTTCAGGCAAATGGATGGCACTAGAAGAAACCATCCTGAATGAGGTAACCCAGTTACAAAAAAGAAACATGGTATGTACTCACTCATATATGAATTTTAAAGATGAATCAGTGGAGTGCCAACCTTTAATCCCACTGCCAGAGAGTCTGGGAAACAGAACCTTCATCCAGTGACTGATGGAAGCAGAGGCAGACTTCCACAGCTAAACACTTAACTGAACTCCTGGAATCCAGTGATGGAGAGGGAGGACTGATGAGCAAAGGGGTCAATACTGGGCTGGTTTAACCCACAGAAACAGCTGATCTGAACAAGTGGGAACACTTGGACCCCAGACTGATGGCTGAGAGGCCAGCATGGGACTGATCCAGATCCCCTGAATGTGCGTGTCATTGAGGAGACCCAGGCAATCTATGGGGCTTTGGGTAGTAGATCAGTATTTATTCCTGGCATACAAATGGACTTTGGGTGTACATCCCACAATGAGGGATGCTCTCCCAGCCTGGACCTCTTGCGGGAGGGCCTAAGCTCTGCCCTCAAGGAAATGACAGCCTCTGGAGATCCCCCATGGAGGGCCTCAACCTCCCTGGGGAACGGAGTAGGGATTGGATGGGGCCTGGGGGGCCTGTTGGGGGAGGAGGGAGCAAGAGGGAGCTGGGATTGACATGCGAAGCAAGCTTGTTTCTAATTTAAATTAAAAAAGAATCTTTTATACTTATTTCCTTCTCCATATTCACAATAATTTCTTTTCAGTTAATAAAGCTATATAAAAAGTATGACAATTTGAATCACTGGATTCTGAAAGCTATGTCAAAGAACAAAGCATCTTCATGTAAACTGTTATATGTTGTTAAACGATGTCAGTCACTTGATTTATTTATTCTGCACTTGCTCACAGAAAGAAAGCCAAGAAAGTCTATGAAGATTTTTATCTCGAACTTCCCAGGAAACTGTCCCCCTACAGATTGGCTTTCATATGCTGAATGGTGTTACACACTGTGCACTAATGGAGCAGAGATATTAATGGTCTTATTCAGCCTTGGACATTGCATTCTATAGTACCAACATGCCAGGCACATTATGCTCACTGGAGCAATAGGGGCATGACTAGTACAGGAGTAGTCAACTGCTTTCTGATTAGTTTTGAGGCCTGTTCCACAGGATAGATTCTGTATGGTATTGAAAACCTCATCAAAAGTGTGTGACTGGGGATATCATAGGCCATAGTGGGGAACCTACTGATTTTGTTTCAGTCATTAAATGGTTAGATTATCAAGCTGCCTTCTAAATGTTCATGTTTATACTCATAGATTATTGCTATTATTACTATATTATTACTCATAGCTGGTAAAGCTGTTGAGACAAATGATTGTGAGTGCTCAACTATAGATGGGTTACTTCTATCAATTTCTATATGCACCTAGGGGATACATTGGAAAAGGGAGCAGAAAGAATATAAGAGTTAGAGGATAAGGAGAGAAAAGAAATTATGTCTTCTAGAAATTACATGAATGTTCCATTTATCAACTTAGAGCACCCATGGTTGCCTATATAGTAACTACACAACAAAAAGCAGTCATAATTCTAAAATTTGGAGAAGGGCTCCTAAGATTTCACCTTTAGCTGAGGAACTATTGGCAGCTGGTGATTGCTGAGGGAGTGAGAGGACTTTTCTTTAGGGCTGTGGCTTCTGGCAGATTGCCCATACCTCAGTGGATGACTTCACATACATGGACACATGGTCAGCACTAATTGGATAATTGGATTCAGGGCAGATAATTAATAATAATAATAATTAATAATAAAAGAGGACATGAAGTTGGGAGGGAGATGGGTTGGGAAGGGTGTCCCAGAAAGAGCCAGAGGGGGCCATGTTGGGGGAAGATATGATTAAAATATAATGTATGCATATATGAAAATTTCAAAGTATAACAAAAATATCACTAGACAAAAGGAAATGCAAACAAACTAAAACATTCATTAGTTTATTTTTACATCCTAAAAATCCAACATTATTGTTTGGTTATTTGTAATTTTATGTATTTTACTCCTTAAAGTTGAAACATGTGCTGAAGTTTAGTTACACAGAAAAGTGACAGTTCCAGAACCCTTGTTTTTATTAGAAAAAGAGGTTTAATAAGCAACTGTATTTTAAGGTCCCTTGGAGATTTTACACATTGAGTTTTCTGGCCAAAGTTATCTGAATACAACAAACAAGAACACTTGTTTGGCTTCTAGTCTATTGAGGGTTGGTTCAGAAATGCAATAGGTAACAAATACTTTAGGAACAGTTTGGTATTTTCTTTTAAAAATGATAAATATCCATTATAAGAGGAATAAGAAATATGTCTGCAACAAGACTTGTGGAACTGTTCATAGAAGCTTTATTTGAAAGGGTACAGTACTGGGAACAATGAGATTCCCTTCACAGGTAAATGTACGAAGAAATTACAGACATCCAATTGATTTTTTTCCTATAGACAACTTACATTCTGCAACATGGGTAAATTAGTTAACCAATTTATTCTAGATTTTAAGAGATTTCTTTGGATGTTGTAGAATGTTTTAGCATGCTTCTGATGTCTGCAGATGAACCACATACCCTCACTTTCTAATCTTGATGGTCTTTATGTCTTTTTTTCTTGACTTATTACACTATACAACACATAGTGTCACACACATATACATGGTTACTGGCTGTTTTAGTTTATTTTCTGTTGCTGTGATAAACACCATGACCAAAAGCAATTTTAGGAAAAAAGAGTTTATATCATCTCACAGTCCATCACAGAGGGAAGCCAAGACCAGAACTCAAATTAGAGACATTGAAGCCGGAACCGTGGAGGAACACTGCTTGCTGAATTGCTCTCTTTGTCTTGCTTAGCTAGCTGTCTTATACCGTACAGTCCAAGTTGCCTAGGGATGGTATCACCCACAGCAGGCTGGGTGCTCTTACATCAATTAACAATCAAGAAAATGAACCACAGACATGGCCACAGGCCATGATGGAGCTCTCCAACTGAGGTTTCATCTTCCCAGGTAACTCCAGGCTGTGTCAAACTGACAATAAAATCTAACCATCACACTGACCTCAGAGGTGAGCATTCAGTATCACACTGCTATGTAGGAAAACAGATTTTTCATGTCAACTTACCAAGTTGAGGAAGTTCCCTTCCTAGATTTTTGTGAGAGTTTTGTCCAAATAATACAAAATACATCTCTAAAATTATGTTAATATATTATGCTCTTTTTAATTTTTTCATCATGAAGGTAAATTCTATGTCATTATAAATAATCTCCCTTGAATTTCTATCGGCTTTTGCACACATGCACACATGGTGTGTGTGTGTGTGTGTGTGTGTGTGTGTATTTGTGGGAGAGATGCACATTTGACATTGTACAAATATGGAGGTTAGAGAAAAACTTCATGTGTCTCTTCTCATCTGCTTTGAGCCAGAGTCTCCTTTTCTGTTGTCTGTAATTGCAGCCTGGGAGCTTCTGGGGATTTTATTGTCTCTGATTCCCATCTTGTTGTAAATCACTGAAATTATAGATGTACATTAGCATACGCAGCATTGATGTAGAGATTCTGGTCCTTTTGCTTGCACATAACCCTGGCCCTCACTTCTTATAGTTTGGAGATTAGATTTGCTAAGTCTTAGGAAATCACTGTGAAACTTGTTTGAATAGTCATGTATAGCAATTGTGATATTTCTGTACTTTCATTGTCTGAGATGACATAACCACTATGCCATTCTTTGGATGGATGTTATGTCTCTCATACTTTAAATACACCCCTCCCACGGCTTCTGGGTGGATATCTATTCACTCAGAGGCCATGCTGACTCCTCACTGACTTTGATTTTCTTTTTGAAGTTTATACTTAGTCTTTGAAAATTTCATACTTTCACTGCCAACAAAAGCTTCCCAGAGCTGCTCTAGGTCTTCTGACTTACCATGTCATTTGAAGGCCTCCTCTGTAATATTATTGAAAGGCTTCCTGATGTGCTAAACTGGAAGCAAAGACCACATTTGTTAATACCCAGCCATTATATCTATATGTGAACTTCAAGATAATTCTGGAATTCTGTAACATGAGGGATATCATCTTAGTTCCTTAGTGGGGACTACTAAGGAAACAATTCAAGAAATAGTTCAAGATTTACATTTATGGAGGTAAAAGCTATGAAGGTTCTAGGCACTAATGCTACAATTGTAACAGAAATGATATCCAGGCCATCTTGAAATGACTTTAGCATCTCATTTGCGTAGCTGATTTTAATCAAACAAAATTGTGTCTCCCATATACGCTTCTTGTGTTTATTATCATGGCTGCAAATGTATCAGATAGCTGTTATAGAATGTAGACTATTATGAAATAATATTATGGGTAAGTAACTAGGTTTTTACCGACCCAGACCTCCTGAATGTGGGTGTCAGTTTGAAGGTCTGGGCAGTCTATGGGGCCTCTGGCAGTGGAACCAGTATTTATTCCTAGTGTTTGAATGAACTTTGGGAGCCCATTCCACAAAGAGGGATACTCTCTCAGCCTGGACACATGGGGGAGGGCCTAGGCCCTGCTCCAAATGATGTGACAGACTTTGAATATCTCCCATGGAAGGCCTCACTCTCCCTGGGGAGCAGAAAGGGGATGGGTTAGGGGGTTGGTGAGGGGCAGGGGAGGAGGGGAGGGAGAGGGAACTGGGATTGACATGTAAAACAAGATTGTTTCTAATTAAATTAAAAAACTATAAAAAAGAAACTGGTTTCTTTTGGTATTGCATCAAATGGCCCTTTAACTATGCAGACTCATATTATGAAGTAATATTACAGCTAAGAAACTATTTTTTCATAATGTACCAAATGTTCCTTTAACAATGTAGAATATTATTATGAAAGAATATTTTAGGTAATAAACTAAAGGTTTAAAAATATATTGTTATTGTCTTTTTTCAGATGTGGGGATGGTTTCATGGGGAATAGGGATTGTATATCCTCTAGGGACACATTGCTTGGATCAGAATGCATGAAATGTAAGCAATACATTAGTAGTTACTATCAGAGATGACATTACTCACAAGAAAAGAGGACCAAAGTGAATATCCTGAAGTTCCAATGGCAGGAAAATACTCACTTCCTTTTTCAAATACAATACTTTGAGAAAAAAACAGGTATGTCCAGAAGTATCCCAGGCTCTGTATGATCAGGCTAGTCATCAGTTGTATAGACTGAAAGAAAAGGACACCATTCTTAGTCACAGTTCCAGCTAACTTCTAAAGAAGAACACACCTCAAGACAGATGGCAGAATGAAGAAAGGTGGTGTTCTACCATAATAGTGACAGCTTACAGAACTTTAGAATGAGGACATCAACTATGCTGTGATGTTCTATGTATTGTTCTAGGTTGTTTTGTCATGTTTTATCAACCATAATCAGTCACAGACCTATTATGTCACTACAGAGATATCTCTAATTCCACCCTTTCTTGTAACTTTCTCACTGACACTTGTAACTCCTGGTGATCACACATTTGCTTCTCATAGCTTTTTAAATAGTCATCTAATTTCTCAAAAAGTTGGGAGTCTACTAAGGCTCATTGTTTCTATTCCCACTTGATTTCTATTTGTTATTCTTCTGTGAAACTGTCCATTGATTGATGGGTCACACCTGCAATGGCCTTTGGTGGACTGAGGAAGTAGGATCAGTAGTTTGAGTTCCCCCTGTGCTGCATTGACACCTTCCCCAAAACACAAATAAACAATTCCCATTTCCCAGATCAGTTGGCTAGATCTATAGAGTCTAGTTTTGAACTCTGTGCTTATTCTTACTTTAAAAAATCACATAATCTTGACTGTAGGCAGAAAGTATCTTAAAAATCAACTAGTGTGATTTCTCCTACTTCACTTCAGTTGTTTTTGTTTCTTCCTCTTACCACATAATCTTTGGTAATTTATAGCTATCTACAGGAATTGCTAAGATTTTAATAATAATTATGCCAAACACATATGCCAACTTAAGGAGAACTAACATCTTTTTACTATGTTGAGCTTTGCAATCCATAAATGTGCCTTTTTATTGATGTAACCTAATTTGAAATTTTCATTAGTATTTAGTCATTTTAAAATACAAGTGTTATATATGGTTTCTTCAATATATGTATTTCTAGATACCCTGTGTCCGAGTGTGTGTGTGTGTGTGTGTGTATGTGTGTGTGTGTGTGTGTGCATCTATTAATTGTATAGGATTTTTTCACCTAATTTTTAATTCTTTGTGCTTAAATTTTAACCTGGATGAAAGTGCACAATGCAAAATTGCACAACCAAGGTGTGTAGTGAATGAGATTGCCTGGGCAAACAGTAGTGTGTCTGTGAGATGGTGTGAACAGCATAGCACCTTTGTAACCAGTCACTGTTCATATAGTTTGTAGTCTTAAGTTTTTTCTGGGTGTATTGACAGTTTGCTCATCTCACTTAGGACCTACCATCAGCTTGGGATTGAAGTAACTGATAGGTGGTAAAAAAAGAATATTTTTTTCTTCATACCCAGACTCAGTATATGTTTTGATGTCATATCACCATCATAAGCCATTGTAATTGATTTGCCTCCATTTGAAGAATTCACAGTAGATACAGAAGTGATTCAGGTCTCCTACCTCATGTGCTAAGGAGTTCCAACCCTCTCACAGTTGACTTACTCACTCAAGCAGCATTTTGTTCTTACCCCCAACAACCTCAGTTCCTTTTTTACCCATAGACGATTCTGTGGCATATTCATCAGTGGGATATGGGGATATTTCCTATGAAAAATGTGGACAAAAATCAATATAAATTAAATCAGTTAGTGACTATTATTCTTCTCTTGGGTAAGATTTGTAAGGGGGAATTCCTGAGGGGGAATCTAATTCATTTTTTAAAAGACACTTGGCTGTTCTGTGACAGATGCTTTTGCACCAGACTGGTAGTATCTTGACAAAACCAATTTTTATCTCTCAGTAAGTTTTATTCACTTATCAAACTTGAGTTAAGTTCGGTAAGTGCCAAATGATAGATGCTCCAATCACATCAGTCCCTCTAGTACCCACTCATATGCCCAAGTTGCAGCATCAGGAAGTTTAGACTCTTGATAGCTTTGATTTAGCCTGTTACTCATCATCATTCAAATTCAAGTATGTCTCGGGGCGCCTGACTGGAAGGATCTGTGTCACACTAAGTGCAGAGAAGACTTAGAATACTATAGGTAGGCTTCTTAAGTTAGTGAAAAAGACAGTTGGGTGGGGGGATGTTCACTATACAAGACAAGGCTAACTCATCATTTCCAGCATTGACAGGGAGGGCAATGGTTCCTATTTTGTAGGACTCACAGCTTCTGTATTTAATACCCATGGCAATTGTTCTTTGATTCTAGCTGGTCTGAATAAAGGTGGATATCTAAGTCATTTAGTGGGGGCACAGGAAAAACTCTTTCCTAGATGATCTGGCAGAGTTTGTAAAAGGTAAAAGCCAAGGTGTTATTAGGTTTTACCCATTCTAAAGGACAGAACTGAAGTGGAAAAAACCTTGGGTGTGGGAAGATGGGCATCCAGAGAAAATCAGAGGTGGAAAAAGAACAGAGTATATCACCTTTTGACCATTTTCAACCTGTTAGTTCCATTATTTTGGAAGTCTGGCTGCCTATATATTATGATACTCATGTTTTAATTTTGCTAAAGCAAATAAGAGATAATTCATGTTTTTTTTCAGTCAAAAGGTTAATACACTTTGGCTTTCTAGTTAGATACGGCTTTGACAATCCTCCTCCCCATCCCTACTCCTTAACCCCTACTCCCACCCCAGTCTCTAATGTATGACTAATCTTTTCCCTTTTCCTTTTTCCACTGTGTATAGTCATATCTAAAATTCAGCATATTGTCTTTAGATCTTTCATTGACAAACTTTTCCTTCTCCTCATATAAGTCACAAATTCTGGTTTCAGTTGCCATAGTAATGTACCTTTGGCATTTTACAAGGAGAAAATATATAAAGACATAGCAAATGCATTTCAGAAAACGCTTGAGTTAAAAACTTACTCATTATGAGGTGACCTTTTAAACATGTAATAAACTCCATCAAAGGCGCTTCTCAGCGACAAGAATCCCATGTAGGAATGTATTGGGAGGAAAACGAAGCTAGTACCGAATTGAAACTCACCAGTAAGTAGTGTCCAAGGCCAGTCATTAATGTGGTCTGTTCAAAGGTCATGGATTCCCTGCGATGTCATGATCCTAAGGATAGAAGGGGGCAATCCTTCAGGGGTTTCCTTTAGGTCTAGACATTCCTGCTCTAGGATTCCTGCAGGCAGCACCTGCCCCAGTGGCGCTGCCATTTCTATGTGTCCCTCATTACCTCTTTTGGATCCAACGCTGCTGGCTGCTGCGGTTGTGTCCCAGAGCAACCGCGAAAGGCTCCACGCGAGGAGGGTCACGCAGACGCAAACGCTAGTTCTGCCTGCCTGTGGAGGTTCCACCCAGCCTTCAAGGCCTACAGATACAGATGGGGTTAGGGGATGGGGCTAGCGGGAGGGGATCTAGTGTGAACACCCTTTACTTCCCGGTGGTGGATACACTCTAGCCTTTAAACTATAGAAACCCTGAGTACAACTACAGGCTAATTCTCTGCTCTGTCCTTTCTCGCCGAGCAAAAATGCCTCCTGCTGTTTTCCAGTAGACGGATAGAAATAAGTCTTTCTATAGTGAGTCTCCTCAAAGTCTAGATTCTAGACTCTAGAAGGACACTAGATTGCACAATTCTGTCATCCACCCTGGGATAAGAAACTCTAACTAAACTCAATGGGCAACACACGGACAAAAAAGGCATGAAGGCTGGAAGGGAACTCGCGGAGAAGGGGTCCAGAGGAAGATGAGAGGAATGGGGGTGGGGTAAAATGACTAAAATCCATTAGAGAAACATATGAAACTATCAGTCAAGCAAAAATAGATTACCTATGAAAAAGCTATTGCTGCAATCTAGTCCTAACAACTTGATAGTCATATTTATGAGGCCAGTGTCATTTATGATATGGGTCCCCACCCACTGAACATTTAGTGTAAGGGTGCTATATCTGGCACGCCGTAGAAGTGAATAAGTAAATGAAAGGTCATTCATTCCAACTGTTTCAGATTATAGTGAGTCTCAAATGCAAAGGTGATTTGCTTGTCTGCTAACTAAAGGAGTGTTTCTCACAGGCAATTTGTTGAGGCTTCTAGTATCAGGTATTTTGTGGATTATATAATTCATGGCACAAAGTACTTTTGAGGATACATATGAATGGCACTATATACTGGGAGTTTATAGAAGTGGAGTTTACCTTGTGGAAGGAGACATGATCCTTTTATTTTTATTTATTTTCAGGCTGGCCTCGAACTCACAGAGATCCGCCTGCCTCTGCCTCCTGAGTGCTGGGATTAAAGGCGTGTGCTAGGTAAGGAGCAGGCTTAGGAAGTAAGGAATAGGCTGAGGAAGTAAGGAGCAGACAGAAAGAAGTACCTGCAGATGCCTGAACTCTAGGAAAAAGGAAAATGATGCCCAAATCTTCTGAGGATTGTATATTTGTTTGCTGGATTTTGCAATGTGGAGGTGACTGCTGCCATTGAAAAAGGAGGCCTCAGAGAACAGGGGGAGCCAGACTCGATACAGAGTGGAGTCAAGGGAAAAACAAGAGGTGACAGTTTGGAGATAACACACCCTGACCTTTGGAACCCTGGTTTTAATAATCATGTGCAGAGGGAGTACTGTAGCACAATGAATAAAAACCCAGAGACAGATATTGGGGTTCAAGCTTCTAGCTGAAGATTAGAGAAGCAAAGCAGCCAACCACTAGCTCTTACCTCTACCTCAGCTCAGATCAAAGGGGTGATCCTCAAACTGCTCCCGACTTCACTGCTCCTCCGATTCACTCAGACTGCCATGCTGTCCTCAGTATGGTTAGCGACTGACTGTCAGACTGAATTCCTCTACCTTTTATACCTTTCAAATCCTGAGATTCAAGGCATGAGCTCTGATTCACTCTCCAGTAGCCCAGGGTGGTCTTGGACTCAGAGATCCATCTGCCTTTCTCCTGAGTCCTGGGATTAAGGTGTGTATCACCACTGCTTGATCTCTATAGCTTGAAGCAGCTTTGCTTTCTGAATCCTCAGGCAACCTTTAATAAACCATAAATAATGTATCGCACAGAGTGGAACAAGGGAATTGTTTTAAGATGAAATTAATAATGACTATGTGACCATGGGGCTGACTGAAGAGATGGAAACCCAAAGCCAATTGAGATAACAATGGAGCAGCAAGACCTCCAACTGTGATCTCTGGAATATGCCCTTTGTCATGCACAGACCCCTGTTCAGACTCAGCTTTCTCATGGGACACTTGTCTTCTTGGCCCATCGCTGAGTTTGCCTCTGGAGGAACTCCTTTGCAAAATTCCTGCTCACTTTCTGGAACTAGGAGCTCTTGGGTATGAGAATAAAGGGTACAGGTTTTGTGACTTTAATGGAAGCTTCTAGACCCACACAACTTAAAAAACAAGTAGCTATATATGGCTAGGCTGTGGAACGTTTGCCCCGTAGTTGGCTTGGACTGACATGTTTAAGGTACAAAATGGACACACAATTCTGAGGACTCCATATGATTAAACAACTATAAAGTGTGTCACTGATGGTTTTTATTTGCACCATTTATATATTTTTGATTTATTAAGTTAGACTGTGTTAACAAAATTAAGCACGTGTTTCTATTTACTCTCTTTGTGTGACTACTAGGACAAGTTAAATATATACATGAATTTTTAGTATTATCCAATAGATAAGGTTGTTTTATATCTTCCACAGTTTGGAAACCATTTCCTTCTTTCAGGTTTTCCAAACTTTCTAAAGTTTTGTTTGCTTGTTTGGCTTCAATTTCTTCACTTTATTTTTAAAAATTGTTCTTTTTATTTTTGAAATTATAACAGAATTATACATTTTCCCATTTCCTTTCTCAAAACCCTCCTTGTTCTCTTTAAAATTCACATCTTTTTAAATTTTATTTAAAAATTATTTTTCACTTTACATACCAACCCCAGTTCCCTCTCTCCCCCCTTCTCCTACCCTCTGCCTCCCCTCTCCCCACCAATGCACTCCTCATATGGAATATGACCTCCCTTGAGGAGCCAACAACGTCTATCATGGCCTCTTTTTAAATGAATTGTTGTTACATGCATATATGCGCACATACATATATCCCTACATACATATGTGTGTACTGTTACTTGTTTGTATGTTTTCAGGGCTGACCATTAGGTGTTGGATTCCTTAGTTGCCTGTAGTTCTTTGTGTAGGGTTGAAGCCCCCTGGACTTTCCCTTGTCCATACAGGATCAGGAGGATTGCTGCAAAATGGTGACTTTTAGGCATGACAGAAATGTTGTACCCATGACCTCTCAATGTCTATGGTAACCTGTATAAGACTCACAAGACCAAACCTGCCAGTATTTCAGAATGAATGGCTGACGGGTTTCTAGGGCTCTACTCCTACTTGAGAAGATACAGGTAGCCAACATCTCTTTGGGGAGAGAGACAATTTTATTCAGGGATGGGCCTGCTGTTAGGTTGCTTATGCTCTAGTGGTCAGCCCCACACCTATGTACATCTGGGTAACACTAATTGAACTCAGTAGGTTATACATTTCAAAAAAGAGGATATGAATTTGAGAGATGGATGTAAGGAAGAGAACCCTGGAGGAGTGAGCAAGGGGGTGATATGATCAAAATGTATTGTGGTCATGGATGATATCCTCAGCCTTCATTCTCTTCTTCTTCCTCTTCCTTTCCTCCTCCTCTTCCTTCACTTCTCTCTCTTCTTTTCTCTTCTTTCTTCCTTTCCTTCTTCCTCTTCACCTTCTTCCTCCTCTTGCTTCTTCTTTTCAATCTTCTTCCTCTCCCCCCCTTCCCCTTCTCCTCTTCCTCTTCTGCAGAGGAATAGCCACCCTAATTCTTTCATTTGAAATGTCCTCCCCACCTTTCAAGCCCCCAAATACTAATGTCCTATTTGGAGTTTTCACAAAATATTATCATCTTTACACCAGAAAGAACATTCTCTATTCTGTCGTACTCCCATTTTTCATATGACTCTTAATACGTGAATTGCCCAGAGTTGTAATTTCTGAGTTGCTTGTTCCTCTGCTAAAATAAGAACTACCATGACATGCCTCATCAATCTCTTACACCCCAGGGCTCAATACTTTCTTTGGGCACAGTAGGCATCCAGAAATGAGCTAAGCGGTGAAATTGTAGAATCAAGAAACCTTAACTGACCATCATGGAGAACAACCAGTGTAATGCCTTGAATGATGGAATAAAACAAACAATTAATTATGGATGGTGTCCTTAGCATTGTTTACATTGCTGAGGAAACTTCTCTGATACCATGTTCACATTAGAAGAGCAGGCAAACTACATGCAGAATAGCTTATTGGGAAATGTTCCTCAACACGAAAAAGCAGTTTGCTTTGCAATGTATTAAACATCAACTCAAATAATGAGAAGAAGGAAGCAGGGGTATTGAGAGGGGGAAAAGGCAGCAGACACATACAGGGCAGAAAGGAACTTTAATGAGAACAGGAAAAGCCATGGGACAATAAAGGCACTGGACTGATGACCTTTTGATCCTTGCTTTGTTGATGCAGACGCTAGCTTGAGCAGAAGAATGCAGTGCATGGTGGAATGTGCTTTTCACTCACAGGAACAGAAACTAGTTTTCCTTGGAATTATAGATTGTGATCCAAACTTCATAGCCTGTACTCTACAGGTTACACGCAGGTTTTATGGTCTACTGCAGATGATCTGCTGTGGAGAGCTGACAGCTTTTCAGAGTGGCTAGCTAGCAGATCTTCCTTGTGATAATCTCTTGCTTACATAGGAAAAGTTTTCTCCTCTGGAACCTAGAAGATATGTGTGTAGACATTTCTTAAGTATCAAGGGGGATAACTTTTAACTTGTTGTGAGTTTCCTCTTGCACAAAATGCATGCGTTGGACAGTAACCTTGTTATACGGAAGTATCATTGGCACATACATCAGGTGTCAGCAGCCAGGAAAGTTGTTCATGTTTCCAGCTTTCAGAATGAGTTGCTCATGACTTCAGTAACACTTTCTAAATTACTTTCTTGTCTTCTTCCCTGGAAAAGAAAAAAAAACCAGCCACTTACAGATGACATCCAGTTTCTCAAATCATGTGAGTAACAGAGAATTAAAATAGTAATAGAGAACACAGGCCACATTGGTACTTACAGAATACAATTCAGAGTTACATTTGTTTTATTTCTGTCTCATTCTCAACCCAGTCTACCTCCTTTTAATGTCTCTAAATCATAGCTTTTGACATATTTGCTGATTTTTTTTGCGTGTGGTTTTTTTTTACCTGCATGTGTGTTTGTTTACCACTTGCATGCTTGGTGCCTGAGGAGGCCAGAAGAGGGCATTAGATTCCTGGGACGTGAGTTACAGATAGTTGTGAGCTGCCTTGTTGGTGCTGGGAATTAAACCTGGGACATATGGAAAAGCAACCAGTGCTGTCAATGAAATCACCATTCCTTGTGAATTTATTAATAGCCAATAAATTCTGACATTGTGGTCACATACAAGCGTATTTATCTATATTTCTGATATAGCATGCTTACACTTAAATCCCAGGATTCAACTTCCTTTTTTATAAAATCTGATCATCTGATCATCTTATTTAGTGAGTCCTTGTTGTCACCCATTATACATATGTCTTTCAGATTTTGAAGTCTTTCTTTTTTTCACCTTCTACCAAGAGTACAGGTCCTGAGAACTCTTTCCAAGTATGTGTTTTCTTAGTTAGGGTTTCTATTGTTATGAAGAAACATCATGGCAATCACAACTCTTATAAAGGAAAACATTTAATTGGGGCTGGCTTGGTTTAGTTCATTATCATCATGTTGTGGAGCATGGCACACCAGCAGACATGGTGTTGGTGCAGGAGTTCTATATCTGGATCAGCAGGCAACAGGAAAAGAGAGTACCACTGTGTTTGACTTGTGCATCTGAAAATTCAAAGCCCACCCTCAGTGATACACTTCTTCCAATAAGACCACACCTGCTCCAACAAGGCTACACCTAACAATGCCACTCTCTATGAGCCTATTGGGCCCATTTTCAGCCAAGTCATTACACATGAAATTAGTTTTGTTCCCTGTATTTCTGTTGTTTTTTTTTAAACTGGACATCTTAAATAATTGTTAGATACTTTGGATAAATGTTAGATAATTTAAATCAGTGGTTCTCAACCTTCATAATGCTGTGACCTTTCAATACAGTTCCTCATGTTGTGGTGACCCCCAACCATAAAATTATTTTTCTCGTTGTTTCATAAATTGTAATTTTGCTACTGTTATGAATTATAATGTAAATGTCTGCGTTTTCTGATGGTCCTGATGACCATAAGCTACCCTTGTGAAAGGGTCGAGATTCACAGGTTGAGAAGCACTGATTTAAATAGTTTCATCTTTCCCTGAGAGTGGCGGATGCTGCTTTTTTTTCTAGAGAATTGTTTATATAAACTATGTGGAGTCTGTTTCCTTTGGTGCTTGTCTTTGATATATCTACACATTTTCGTTGTTTTCTGATTCCTAGTTCTTCTTTTTAGGCTATTTTCTAGTCTACTCCATAGGGCTAGCACAGTCACTCAGCTGTTCATTATAGGCAGAGGTTATACTAGAAATACTTCATTGTGGTTTGAATTACAATCCTCAAAACTTGCACATCAGAATCCCAACCACTGGCATATTGGAATGTAAAAATATTTGGAGATGAGGTCTTTAAAGGGGCAATGGAATCATAATTTTTTTTGACTGGGCTGTTGTCCAATGTGATTGGTGTATGTAGAAGAGATCAGGACACAGACTCATCCAAGGAGAGGCCATGTGAACACATTGTAAGTCAATGAGAGGGGGAGGGGCTTTGGAGGACACAGACCCCACAGCACTTTGGTCTTGGCTTCTGGACTACAATTGTGAGAAAATAAATTTTCTTGTTTGGTAAAGTTCTTTACAATTGAGTTTAAGGGCTAGAGGAAAAGTTAACCCTAATTTGCAGTGCTGGAATTTAGAATCATCTAGGGGACACTCTGTTGGTGAATTTTGTAAGTTGGTGTTTTCAGAGAGGATTCTCTCTGAATGTGGGTGGTACCATGCTGTGGGCTGAAGTCCTGAATCTTTAAAAAGGAAGCAAGCCAGTCACTGGAATATCATTGCTCACCTCTCTCTGCTTCCTACTGAGGATGCAATGTGTTTTCTGTAGCTGTGTGTGTATGTCTGTGTGTGCTTAATTTGAATGTGTGGACATGATGAAAACAATGCTAAAGGAAGAATCACTGTATGTATGTATGTATGTGTGTGTATGTGTGTGTGTATTTATATATATATGTATACATATGTTTTTAATTTTAAATTTACAGCTTCATATGTTACTCTGGCAAAAGAAAACAAAAGGTATGGAAAAAAATCACACATTATTACCTTGCTACTAGTTCCAGAGAGTTGTGGAATGCCACTTATCTCCTTAGGTTTGCTTACTAGAAACCAAAAACTCCTTAATTGCCAGAGGAAACACTTACCAAATGTGAACAGCTGCAGATTGAATATGTGAGGGCGATCCCAAATTCCAGGGGGTAAGAGAACAGCAAGATGCGGGACACTTCTCTCCCCAGCTTCTGTAACCAGGAAATAGGGGGATGATGCATCATTATCTTTAGTGTGTGCCCCAGAGTAAGTCAAAGAGGAGGAGGAACGTTGGAGCGGGTGACCGTCTTCCAGTTTGATTTTCCTGCGCGTGTCTAGCAGTTGGCTTTCAGTGTCATTTGTCATATTTTCATTCTTTCCAACTCTTTGTCTGTGGCTTCTGCTCTTCATCACCATCACTTAGCTTTTAGTCACACTTCTTGCAACTTTTTAGTCTCATGAATGTATTCACTACTTAAACTCTTCAGTTAATCTGGTTTTATCAATATCATCTTCAACATCATCGTGTGTGTGTGTGTGTGTGTGTGTGTGTGTTTGTGTGTGTGTCTGTGCATGTGTGTATATCAAATGGGTACATGCATGCCATGCTGCTCGTCTGGAGGACAAAGGACAACTTCCAGGAGTTAGTTTCTCTCCTTCCTCTATAAGTTTCAGGATTGAAGTTAGGTCATAAGGTTGTGAGGAAAACCCAGCTTAAAGAATTATTATTAGTTTTTGCCTCATTTTAGTGTGTGTGTGTGTGTGTTGTGTATGTATGCATTGTGAAAATGTGCATATGTGTGGGTGCTTGTGGAAGCCTCTCTGAGCTTATGTTAGGAATCATCCTCGATTGTTTTTCCACCTTATTAAAGGAGACAGGGCCTCTCAATCAAACTCAAATTATCTGATGTGGCTGGCCTTGCTAGTCAGTTTATTCTGGGGATTACCTGACTATGCCTTACTAGGCTGGAATTGCAGGTAGGTTGCTAGGCCCACCTGGCATTTATGTGGGTTCCAGGGAACTGAACTCATATGTTCACTTGCACAACAAGCACTTTAACCACCCAGTTATCTTCCCAGCTCCTGGTTGCCCCTCAGAGGTTGTAGGTAAGCCTCTGTTGCTGAGGTTACTACATATTTAGTACTTGTTAGGATACACGTTAGGATTCTGGTTATTAAATAAGTTAGGCTAACCACAAAGTCTCTTTCTTGTAGATTGGCTTTCATAGAACCAAAATGTCCTGTGTAAGCTGCCATGGGGGTGGGTGAAAACATTATGAATTTTCTTGTCTAGCTGTGATAACTATGAACAACAATGGTGACTAACTCAGCAAGATATCCTTAAAGGTGCAGTAGTGGCATATACATGTTGGCACCAACAGATCTCTAATTGGCCTTAAACCCTACTCAATAGAGAGAGAGAGAGGAGAGAGAGAGAGAGAGAGAGAGAGAGAGAGAGAGAGAGAGAATTAGTTTCTTTCAGAGATGAGCTCCTTAATTGGTTATCCAATATGAAGTGGGCAGTCATGGTATCATATACACACAAATAACAAAAAATAAATACAACAGCAGGTTGTAATTATGTATTCATGCATTTCTTTTTCTATATGTAACAGTAATAATCAAAGGAAAAGAGACCATCAGTTTGAGAGGAAGTCAGGGTTGGGGGGAGAAAAGGGAAAGGGGAAAATTGTGTGTGTGTGTGTGTGTATGCAAGCACATGTTCAGATGCTATCTGAGGCTGAAAGAGGGCCTTGAATTCCTTCGAGCTGAAGGGGAGCTCATAATATACGAGTTGTGAGTCACCCAACAAAGATGCTTGGGACCAAACTAGAGGTGCTCTTAACCACTGAGCCATCTCTCTAGCTTCAATAATTTCTTTTGCCTCTTGAATCAGGGTTTCATGTAGCCCAAGCTGGCCTGGAACTTTCTGTACACCTCAGGATGACCTAAAACTCTTGACCTTGCTGCCTTGCTTACTAGAGTGCCTTGGGGAAAGTCAGCCATCAACATGCTTGCTTAAGCAGAGATACAAGAGAAGAAGGCCAGAGTCTGGGTAGGTACTATCCAGCCACGCAAGGGACAACATGTCAGAACAGGAACCACACAACAGTGTATAGATGAATACAAATAGGTTACATTAAATTGTAAGAGCTAGTTAGTAATAAGCCTGAGCAATAGGCCAAACAATTTGTAGTTAATGAGTGATTTTTTTAAAATTGGGATGGGAGGGCATCTTGAGAGATGGCTCAGTGGTCAAGAGTTCTGGCTGCTCTTACATAGGACCTGGGTTTAATTCCAAGCACCCACATGGTGACTAGTTCCAAGGGATTCAACATCTTTGTCTGGTCTTCGCAGGTGCTTCACAAATATGTGGTTGGAACAACCATACACAGAATATAAAAACTTAAGGAAAAACAACAACAAAATATGGACTGGATGGGGCATAGAAACTTTGGTTTATAAGTATCTTCCCATACCAAAGAGACTAGAACATAGGAGTAAAGGTTCCATGGTTGCACTGCCTCTACCTCTTTACTTTCAATGAGCAGTGTGGATATTCTCTTAAGAAATGGGAACCCCCCTGGCAGTCTTCAAAGAACAACCTTCTGTTCTAGCATCAGCCTGGGTTGTTTAGGGATCTCTACGGGACTGTCTTGGCCAACAACTCCACCAGATGTAATCCAGTCCCGCAACTAGAAGCCTTGCCTGGCTACAAAAAGATGGCCAGTTCAGACTCCATATCCTCCATTACTAGGGTCCTCACTAGGGTCACCTTCATAGATTCCAGGAAATTTTCACGACACTACATTTCCACCCCCAAGTGCCTCCCATCGATTCCAGCTGTCTTTCTCTTCACTGTCTCCTTCCACCCCTACCCTCATTCTCCCAGTCTACCCACAAAATCTATTCCATTTCCCCTTTCCAGGGAGATCCATGCATTCCACCTAGAGTTCTCCTCTTAACCTAACTTCTCGGGGTCGGTGGGTTATAATTTGATTATAATTCACTTAATAACTAAGTTCCAGACTGGGTCTGGGTTACCTCACTCAGGATTATCTTTTTCCTAGTACATTTGCCTGAAAATTTCATGATGTTATTTTTTTTAACAGCTGAGTATCTATTGTGTAAATGTACCCCATTTTTTGTCCATTCTTTAGCTGAGGGACATCTAGGTTGTTTCCAGTTTCTGGCTATTATAAATAAAACCACCATGAACATAGCTGAGCAAACGTCCTTGTTGTAGGGTTGAACATCCTTTGGGATATATGCCTGTCTTAGTTAGGGTTCCTATTGCTGTGAAGAGACACCATGACCACAGCAGGAAAGTCTTATAAAGGAAAAACATATAATTGGGGTGGCTTATATTTTCAGAGATGTAGTACATTATTATCATGGTGCAACATGGTGACATGTAGGCAGACTTAATGCTGGAGAAGTAGCTTAGTGTACTACATCTTGACTTTCAGGCAACAGGAAGTGATTTATCTCATTGGGTGTGTCTTGAATATAATATGTAAGACCCCAAAGCCTGCCTCCATAGTGACACACTTCCTCCAAGAAAACCACACCTCCTAATAGTGCTACTCCCTCTGGGGGACATTTTCACTCAAAACAACACAAAACCCAAGAGTGTTATAGCTGGTTCTTGAGGTAGATGGATTCCCAATTTTCTGAGGAACTGCCACATTGATTTTCATAGTATCTGTACAAGTTTGCACTTCCACCAGCAATGGAGGAGTGTTGTCCTTGCTCCACATCCTCACCAGCATGAACTGTCAATTGTGCTCTTGCTCTTAGTCATTCTGACAGGTGTAAGATGGAATCACAAAGTAGTTTTGATTTGCATTTCCCTGATGGCTAGGGGTGTTGAGTATTTCTTTAAGTGATTCCCAGCTATTTGAGATTCCTTATTGGAATCTCCTTGTTGGGGAAGTCCTGTGCATTTGTCAATAAAGCACTGTCTGGTCTATAGGGAATCTAGATAGGAGGGACTAGGAGTCCAGGAGGACTCTGGGAAGGAGAAACACAGCAGAGTCAACATGTAACGCTATGGGGTAGGAAGCCCAGAACTATTCTCCGGTAAGAAAGATACTTAGATTAACAATTATGGGGTAGTTACTTAAGTCAGAGCTAGCCAGTAAGAAACAAGCAAGGCCAACAGCTTCATAATTAATACAGCGTCTTGTGTGTTATTTGGGGACTACAATGCGGCAGAGCCCAGGCGACTGGCGGGTGATAAACCAAAGCGGCTAGCAAGGAAAAGCTTCTCTTAACATAATGGTTGTCAGAAGCGGGATTGAATTTCCACGTAAAATGACAAAAGCTTTAAAGGAATTTTAGAAACAGAAGAATGGAGAGAAGCACAGATTTTTTTGTAGCAGCATTTTCTCAGGTGGGCTCTGTTTTGCTAGCCACAAGCCGAGATTCACGCGGCTTGCTTACTGGAGTCTTCCTGACTCGGCATTAAAAAAAAAAAACCAACAAGGTTGTTTTAAGAGACTCTGCTAACGATTGAAAGGTGTGTACATACAGCTGGAAGTGGCAGCTTTTGTTGGATGTCAGCATGGACTGAGGCGGTAGCTGGAGTCATGCTAATGCCCGCCATCTTGAAAAAAAAAAAACCGGCAGTTTAAAACAGCTGCGGTTTTACAGATAAGACACGTGACCAGAAAAACGTAAAGATTTACAGTAAAGTCAGACTTGGATGAACAAAACCTCTAAAGGTTTACAGTGTGTTTAAAAATATACGTAAGATTGAGAGAAAAAGAAGCCGGCTGTGGTGGCGCACACCGGTAGGAATTGCTCCAGAGGCAGAGGCAGGCAGATTTCCAAAGAGAAACCTGTCTCAGAGAAAAATAAATAAAAGTGAAAGAAATAGAGTAATAATAAATAATAGATAAATAAATAAGCCACATAAAGATGGAAAATACACAGAGAGTCTGGATACTGTATGCTATTATGTTTTTCAGTTTTTTGATTGCTAACAAAGGAACAACTAAAGTACACTTGATTATAAATGTTGCTGAATTAATTCAACTTATATCTTTTAAAAATGCCTTGACTTCAAAATTTAAGTATAAGGATATGTTACTCGGAAAAGGAGTTTTAGTTTATGTTTCCACAGAAAATGAAAAGCTGAGGATTCCTTCCAGGCTTCTGTGGTTTGACGAACCAAGACCCCCGGAAGCAGTGGACCAGGTGTTTCAACAACTGAAACAGCTAAGATGATGGAGCTTTACAGACCCCGAAAATACGGACTTATACAGGTTTCTGAGTTTTGTCATGATCCCCATGGTATGAACAGCACCCACTTCCAGCATGAAGCAGTTTGGAATGAGCGACGTCCTAATTCCCATCTTGTTTGTAAATCTTTGTTTTCATTTAAATGGGATTGTTTATAATTGGCTAGTGATCACAGCCAATCTTTTTTAATGGTAAAAAGGGGAGTTATGGTATAGGTATTGTTTTTCATTTATTGATACAAATTCAAGGTCAATTTTGTGATGTGTATATTTCTCCTCTTGATTAAGTATTGTGCTCATACTGATCTTTTAAAACATAATGCATAATTGAATACAGACTATAGATATTTACTTATAATAGTCAGAACTTATAGTTAGGTAAGTTAGGTTTTCTAGATATATAGAGATGTATTTGAGACAGATAGATAGTCTTCAAACCTCTCAAAGACCTTCAGAAAATGGCATTTAAAATGGTTTAGGGTTTTTCTTGACAATGAGAAATGTCTGCTCCTGGCAGCACCAATTATGCCTGAGAGGAAAATGGGCATCGAAGAAACTCGTTATGGAGTTTGCTTTCAACATGACAAGATTAGCCATTTGGGCAAGAAACTGCTCTTGCCTATACTGCTTGACTGTTGTTGTATAATCTGGACATGCAGGACCCACAGGAAAGTGACTGCTGAACTCAGTCTTATAGGGTTCCTGCTTCATGGAAGAGAATTTCTGCAGGACACAGAGAAATGACTGACAGACTGACAATGCAGATAGACAGTTTTGAAATTTCCTGCTTTGCTGAGAAATCTTCTGGACACATTGTGGCCTATGGGCTGAAGATGGATGCCCCAACGTTACAGAGGAACTTCGGGTGACTGTCCAGGCAGTAAGATATCTCTGTCAATCCTAGTGTTTATATATTATCCTTCTGTGGTCTTTGATGGAGTTGAAGATAGATAGTTATAATTATAGTTTTCCTTAGTTATGATAAAAGATAAGCTACATATAGAACTTTAGACTCACAAGGATGGGATGGATGATATTTTCTTTAAATCTTGCTGAATGTTGATAGACAAAATATTGTAACTGTATTCTTACTTGATAACTGTTCTGTTATATATGATTTGACTATGTTAAAGTTAAGACCTTTCTTTTTGTTTAAACAGAAAAGAGGAGATGTTGGGGAAGTCCTGTGCATTTGTCAATAAAGCACTGTCTGGCCTATAGGGAATCTAGATAGGTGGGACTAGGAGTCCAGGAGAACTCTGGGAAGGAGAAACACAGCAGAGTCAACATGTAACGCCATGGGGTAGGAAGCCGGGAACTATTCTCCGGTAAGAAACATACTTAGATTAACAAATATGGGGTAATTACTTAAGTCAGAGCTAGCCAGTAAGAAACAAGCAAGGCCAACAGCTTCATAATTAATATAGCCTCCTGTGTGTTTATTTGGGACTGATGCAGCTCTAGAACCAGGCGGACGGGAAGGTTTCTCTCAAAGAAAAGCTTCTCTTAGCAATTCCTTTTTTTTTTTTTTTTTTTTTTTTTTGATTTTTACGAGACAGGGTTTCTCTGTATTGTTTTTGAGGCTGTCGGTCCAGCCCGGCCTCGAACTCACAGAGATCCGCCTGCCTCTGCCTCACGAGTGCTGGGATTAAAGGCGTGTGCCACCACTGCCTGGCTATTAAAGATGCTTTCTTTTTTCCATTGTGTATTTTTGGTTTCTTTATAAAAAAAGCATAGGTGTTGATAAGTGTGTGGATTTACATTTGGATTTTCAATTCAATTCCATTGATCAATGGGGTTTGTTTTTATGCCAATGCCATGTGGTTTTTATTACTATATCTATGTCTTGCAACTTGAAATCAGGCATGGTGATACCTCTGGAAGCTCTTTTATTGTTCAGTATTTTTTTTTAGCTATCTTAGATTTTTTTTGTGTTTTTCCTATATGAAATTGAGAATTGTCCTTTCAAGGTGTATAAAGAATTGTGTTGGGATTTTTATGGGAATTGTGTTGAATCTGTAGACTATTTTGGGTAGGATGGCTATTTTTACTATGTTAATCCTACTGATCTTGAGCATGGGAAGTTTTTCTATTTTCTGTTGATTCTTAATTCCAAGCCAACACAACTCAAGAAAATCTATTGTATTTATCAACAAGGCTGTTAACATTTTTTACTATAGTATGATGTATTGCACTTCTATGTAAGTCTGGGGGGCAAAGAAAGAAGACTGACACTGATTTACATTTAGCAGTGAGGTGCTGAAGCAAAATCTACGTGAGATGCAAAGGCAGGCTGTTATGAAAGTCCTATGTGAGGTCAGAAATGACTAGGTACTCATGGTTTAAACATATTAGAGCAACAGCAAAGCTGTCTTACTGGTTTGGTGAATGGCTTAATGGTCCAGGAATGTATTCTTTTTGCATTAAGATGTCATCTGTGGAGAGACTGGTGAATGGCTCAGTCAGTAAAGTGCTTGCCTTGCAGGTACAAGAAATTGAGATCAATTTCCAGAACATGAGAAAGAGGTGGGGGCATGGGGAGAGATTGAGGGTACTCACTCTGTACTGGGAAGACAAAGACATGTTGGGTCCTGTGGTTCACTAGCCAGCTAGCCTAGCCTACTTGGGTAGTTTGGGGTGAACAAAACAAAAAATGGACAGTGCCTGAGAAATGATAACTAAGGCTATTCTTTGGCCTTCACATATATACATGCAACATACACACACACACACACACACACACACACACCTCAGGAACCATCTTGGAAGAGGAGGCAACGAGCTTGTTAAGAACCATAAACCACAGAGGACTATCGTGAAATAGAATCTGTGTCTTCTGGACAAGCCAGGGCTGCAGGACTCATAAACTCACAGCACTTCTGTTTTCCTACACAAGATGCATACAAGGTCAAATCAATCAACATTCTATCATGGAAGAGGCTTGAGAGAAGCAGTTTATGAATCTCCATCCCTGACTGAGGGGCCATTGACATTTGACAGTTTCTGGGCAAGGAAAGCCAGTTTTCTTTAAGGGTATAACACTAGGTGGATCAATCACACTCCAATGGATGGCCTCACACCTGTGAGTATAAGGGCAGCACAAAATAAACATCTATGATTAGTGAAATAAATAGAACACAGAAATGAAATTATATAGAGAAATGGGGTTAGATCTGAATGGAGTTGGGGGAAAGGTGGGTGGTGTATATGATCAAACTATATTGTATGAAACTCTCAAAAAATAAAATATCACAAACATTAAAAAGAAAGCTGTTTCTATAAAACCAGTTACTTACTGCTTGTCCATAATTCTTATATGACACAGAACGGAAGTGAGCCAATTCCACTATTGTCAGGCTGGCTGCAATGATCGTAACAATTATGCAGAGTATGTTCAGGGACAGGGCGCAGACAAGCTGAAAAGGACACATGGAGTAACTTACAATATTTAGAAGAAGTACTTTGGATTTTTTGGATGTTTCTGTTGTTGCTGTGTTTTACTAGAAAATGACTGAGTCAAAAATTTCCTTATAGTTTGTGAAGCTCTCAAAGTGTGTTTATGCTTGCCATTTCCTGGTTTACATGAAATCTAGTTGATTTAGAGGAAACATGAATCCATTATCAGATGCTGTCAAGTTTTGAATTCCATCAATGCTCAAAAATTTTGTGTTTTATAATTTTGTGAGTTAACTGGAAGATCAAGATGTTTGACTGAAATACTTAAAAGAAATAAAGAAAATTGATGGGTAATGCTGACTGTAGAAATAAAGTCAAATTAGAGTCAATATGTTTGAATTCTGGGTTTTTATTAGCTGGGACTATCTGTCAACATCTTTGAATAGACATCAGGGTTTTTAATTTAATTTAATTTTATGTTTATGGATATCTTCTCTGGGTGCATGTCAGTGTATCTCATAAATGCAGTGCTATGGCAGACAGAAGAGAATGTCAGATCCCCTTGGACTTGATTTATGATGGCTCTGAGCCACTATGTTTGTTCTGGGGATTGAACCTGAGTCCTCTGTAAGAGCATCAAGTGCTCTTAACTCACAAGCCATCCACCTATCCCCAGATTTCTTGATGTGTAAATATTTAAGATTAGGTTAATTGATTTCTAAGCTGTCTTTCAGGTCTAAAATTCTGATATTTTTATTTCTAAACATTTCCCACCTACACTATGGCTAACTTATTTTTTTCTTATAAAATTCCCTACTTTGATACAAGGTACAACCCTATTTCCAAAGTGAGTACACCAGAAAATGAAGATTAAAGCACAGTAATGTTCACAGAGAAGGGAGAGTTTAGATCCTGTAAACAATTTTTAATTACAGTATTCATACAATGCTAAGGATAGAACATCTAAACAAAATTATTAATTAAATTTAGAAGTTAACAATCAAATGTATCTGTTCTACATTAGGTAATCTGATTTCTGGTTTTTAGTTTATTTTTCTTACTTATTTTATAGGGATGGTAGATTCCTTTATTGTTTAGAGACTATGTTTTCTTTATTTTAAAGAGAGAGAGAGAAAGAGAGAGAGAGTGCATGTGTGTGTGTGTGTGTGTGTGTGTGTGTGTGTGTGTGTGTGTGAGAGAGAGAGAGAGAGAGAGTTCAGTTGCCTTCAGATGCCTGCAGAGGAAGCCAGATCTCTTGGAGTTGGAGTTATTGGAAATTGTGAGTCAACATGGGTGCTGGGAACTGAACTCTAGTCTTTTGTAAGAGCAGCAAGTGTCTTTAATTGCTGAGACATCTATCCAGCCTCAACACCATCTTTTCATTCAAACATCTTTTCTGTTTTGTGAAAGTTCATGCTAGACACATCCCAAACATTTCAACTTACCATGTATCTACTTTGATAATTTGCTGCTTTTATTGTGAAGGCTCCTGAAATGATAAACTAGACACAAAATATATATTGGTAAATACTCATTGATAATGCTCAGCAATTTAAATATACTTTAAAACAGCTATTTTTAAGACAAGATTTTCAGAAAACTAATAGTAACAAAGAGAGAAGTTTTAGTAGAAGGGGTTGGGATGAACTTCCATTATGAGATAATCATGTTTTCAAAAGGTGATAGGTATTGAAAGTAACAGGAGTGTCACAACAGGGGTAAGCATGGGACAGTGGACAGGATTTAGGCAATGGCCTTTTAGGCCTTCCTGAAGCAGGGACCAAGTTTGGTTATATGATACCTCTTATGTAATCTGTTTAGGTGTTACTCCAACTTTTTTTCCTAGTGAGATACCATGGACTGTAATGACTATGTATACATCCAGGTGTGAAAAAAAATGTCTCATAAATCCTTTCGACACCATGACGTAAAAGGCAACCTCTTCATTGAGAGGCAATAGTCACAATTAAGACTACAGTGTGCCCAGGATTTCACTTTATTTATCTATTTATGCATGCATGTATGTCTGATGTATGTGTGTAGTAGGCATCTGGGTGTGCTGCAGTACATACACCTAATCATATACATGTTTTCTTTTATTGTTCCATAACTTACTGCCTTGAAACATGGTTTCTCAACGAACTGGAAGTTTTCTGTTTCAGCTAGTCTGGCTGACCACTAAGTACTTGGAATTTGGCTGTCTCTACCCCACACTGCTGTATGTCCAGCCATGCATGACATTTTATGTGCTAGGGATTTGAACTCAGGTCTTCACAACTGCATGCAGATCAAGTAGTCTTGTTCACTGAGTCATCTTTCCAATTATCTTGCCTTTTGCAAAAGCTATTTTAAAAGATATTCCATTATTTCCTTCAGGATTTTTATTTTCCAAGAAGTACAATGCTGTGTTATTTGAAAGCAGGCTACACAACTTCCCAGAAACAGTCTGTTTTATTTTTAAGTTTTACTTATTTCTATTTATATGTATGTATGTTTGTGTGTGCTTGTAGTTCCTGCAGAGCTCAGAAGCAAGTATCAGATCTCTTGGAACTCAAGTTACAAGGAGTTGTGAATCCCCTGGTGTGGGCTCTGGGAACCGAACCTTGGTCCTCTGCACGAGTAGCAATGGCTCTAAACCACTGAATCATCTCTGCAGTCTTTGTTTTTTTCTGTTTTGGTGATTTTAGTAAAGGTTATTTTTTTGGGAAGTAGCAGCTATGTTTTACAAATCATATTTAAAAACTTTTCATACCATATATTTTGATCATAGTCTCTCCTCTCCCCCAAGTTCTCTACCCAACTTGATGTTTTTTCTTTCTCAAAACAAACAAGCAAGCAAATATATAAACAAAAACACTACCCCAAAACAAAAGGGCAAATGAAATGAAACAAAATAAAACACCATACCAAAAGCAGCACAGTAAAAGCACACAGAAGATATGGTGCTGGGGATGGAACTCACATTTTCATGCTTGTGCAGTAAACACTTCTGACTTGGCTGTCTCTCTAGTCCCCCTCAAGTTATTTTTTCCTCACTATATGTTTTTATTTAAATTAGAAACATGCATGCTTCACATATCAATCCCAGCTCCCTCTCCCACCCCTCCTCCTTTGTCCCTCCACCAGCTCCCCTCCAGACCCCACCCAATCCCCACATCATTCCCCAGGGAGGGTGAGGCCCTCCTTGGGAGGATCTCCAGAGTCTGTTATTTCATCCAGGGCAGAACCTAGACCCTCCCACATGTGTCCAGGCTGAGAGAGCATCCCTCCATGTGGAATGGGCTCCCAAAGTTCATTTGTAAGCCATGGTAAACACTGATCTACTACCCAAGGCCCCAGAGATTTCTGAGGCCTCTTCACTGACACTGCATTCATGGAGTCTGGATCAGTCCCCTGTTGGCCTCTCAGCCATCAGTCTGGGGTTCAATAGCTCCCCCTTGTCTGGTCATCTGTCTTTGTGGGTTTCACCAGCACGGTCTTGACCCCTTTGCTCATGACTCCTCCATCTCTGTCACTGGGTTCCAGGAGTTCAGTTCAGTGTTTAGCTGTAGGTATCTGTCTCTGCTTTCATCAGTCACTGGATAAAGGTTCTAGGATGCCATATAAGGTAGTCTTCAACCTTATCATCAGGGAGGGGTTATTAATGTAGTGTCTCCGCTATTGCTTAGATTGCCAGTTGGTGTTATCCTTCTAGATCTCTGGAAATCTCACAAGTGTCAGCTCTCTCCTCAAGCCTATAATGACTCAATCTCTCATCCTGCTTTCCTCTATTCTTACCCTGATTCAACCTTCCTGCTCCCCCATGCCTTCTTCTCCCCTTCTCTTATCCCCCTCTCTTTTTCCTGGATCCCTCTCCTCTCCCTCCATGTTCCCAATCTGCTCAGGAGATCTTGCCTCATTCCACCCCTGAAGTTATTTTTATAGTATGAAAGGAAACACAGAGGAACACAAATAAGCTCTGAGTTTTGTCTGACAATTTTGTTTTGTTACCTTATCTTTTTATTTTCTTCTTTTTTCCATATGCTTTTCATTAATAAGCCAAATGCACCTTTTCTTATTGAAGAGCTAGTGGACTGCTTATCAACATGGCTTATTTATATTTTTGTCCTTGGACACCAAGTCAGCAGATGCATAAAGGCAAATGCCTTCAAGGTCACTGTTTCTTTACTGACTATTCAGCCTCTTCTGCTACAGCCAGTGGACCACCTTTGTTCCAGTACAAGGACGGTGGGTTTTTGTTGTTCCATTGTGTATTTCCACCACTCTTTTTTTCCCTCTAAGGTTTGAGACTAGTGTTTCAGATGCTATCACCACCATCCCTGTGCTTGAGATCACCAACTGAATGCTTTGTCATTCATCCCTTCTAGATGATTTTAACTATTTGAACCCCTGAAGTCTCTCCTAAGTCATTTAATTCTTAGTGATTTATGTGTGTACATCCTTCTGATTCTTTGAATTTCCCCTTCAAATCCTATATAAGAATTACTTGATTTCCATACCCATCCTCTTGTCTTTGTTGGTCCTTTTAAATCTCAGTGTTATGTATTCATTCTTACCACTACTTGCTCTAGTGGGTGCCCTCTGGGATTTAGCTCTAGCAATGCTTTTCCCACCCTATCTCTTCTCTCAGGCCTTATTGTCTCTATTGAGTTCTTTTCATCACCAGCATCAATCCTATGGTCAGCCATTACAAACACGCCCTATTCCATTTTCAACTCCAGTGCACTTAAAAAAAATCAAAATTGAGCCTTTTAACCAAAATCCTTATGAAATATAGTTTTAATCCTGCTGCATTCCTGCATCCATTCAGATAAACCTTGAATCCTTAATGCTGTATAAAGATCAGTTTACTTTTCCATAAACCACATGCCTCCTCACTTTTCTCGGATGGCCACTTTACACACTCTCCTCTCTTCTAATGGCTGGTCCACGTGCCTGCCCTCACACTCAGCTCATAGATTTCTGTTACATTGAGCTACTTGAAGCTTTGGTAGGAAAGTTTCCAAAGTCTGATCAGAATATGATCTGTTTTCTTTTTTTTTTTTGGTCAATTAAAGGGTTTATTTTAGCTCACAGTTTGAGATGAAATACAGCTCAGTAGGGTGTGAAGGCGTGGTAGCATATCATTCAGCAAGGTGTGAAGGGATGGCAACAGACAGTATATCAGGGTGTGAAGGGATGGTAGCATGATTCATCTGATCTGTTATTCATTCTTTGTTCCCTCTTGTTGCCTTGCCTTAGCACTATTTACATGCATGATTATAATTCTTTGAAAATGATATGCATTATAGGATGCTTAGCAGCATCCTTGACTTCTGCCAAGGATGTAAAAATCCAGAGCATCTTCAAATACTGTGATATGTTTTCTAAGGGGATAAAATTAACACTAATTGAGAACCATCACCGGAGAACATGACCATAGCTATTTGTTCACTAAAATTCATCATTTCTTGCCAACATAAATACATAATTGCAACATTCCTCTTATTATCTCATAATATTTATTGCTTTCTATTCCAGTTATATCCCCACACCAGTAAAAGACAATATAAAGAAGGACATGAAGTTGAAAGGGAAATGTGTTGGAGCTCCGAGAGGAGCTGGAGGGAGGGAGTCAGTTAAAAATGAACAAAATGCATTGTACACAGTATAGAATTATCAAAAAGTAAATTAAAAATATAAGAAAATTTCCCTAGCTCTTATTCTATTTCCCTAAGCCAAGTTCAATCAGGATTTCATGTCATTTTATTGAAACTACTTGTCATGTTTATGACTGGATACCATATTAAAAAGCCTAATAGGCAGTTTTCAAACTTTATCATACTGACAAACCAACAAAAGACATAGAGCTGATCTTTTTTTATGTCTTGTGATATATTCTTCCCTTGACTTCTGTGGATCACCCATATTCTGGGTTTTCCTTCTGCCCAATGACTGTCTAGAAACCACACCAGGATGTAGGCAATGTCAAATCTAAAAACTAACCATGATAATGGACGTGGTGTTTAAGAGTCTTTGTTTTTGACATAGCTAGGGATATAGTCCACATTGTGGTTGTCATTTACTCTCGTATCCACATTTTTTATAGGTATTATGGTCAATGCTTAGGGAAGGTCAATGCTGGGAAAAGGTCAAACAGAGTAGTTTTCCTGAGGTTCACACCACAGCAGTGTAAGAGATTTCTAGACCTTTTCTCATATACTGTACCGCCTCTCTTTTAAAGTTATGTGTGAAGATTCGGTAGTGATAAATTAGTATAGTTACACATGTTAGTTTTTGACTTCTTGTACATTTTGGCACATTAAGAAATTAGGCAACCATAAAATATTAGTAATACATTTAACAAAAGTCTGGGTTCTATGTGAGTAAAATTGTTTTAGTGCAGCAAAGATAGTGAGGACCCCTAGCAGCCCATGCTGTGTCTTTGTCTTCTGAGAACTCAGCTGTTTCAAGCGTTACAAAACAAAACTCTAGTCACACCCACAGCTTCTGTTCAGTGGGACTCTCTTCTTGGTTCCAGTGAGCATTACGTTTCACAACAGAGTCTACAGTTTTTGTTTGTTTGTTTTCTTTTTGCCCTTTTTTATTTTTTGAGACAGGGTTTCTCTTTGTAGCTTTGTAGAAGGCTGGCCTCAAACTCACAGAGGTCCGCCTGCCTCTGTCTCTCAAGCACCCCCAGCTAGTACATCTACAGTTCTTTCTGAAGCTTGTTCCTCAACATGCAGAGGACCCCAGGCACATGGGTGACTAAACAGGTATGACTCTACTCTCAAGAAGCTAATACCTTTCTGTTGAGAGCACTCCACATTTCTTTTATAGCACTTATATATTAAAAGTGCTCAGTGCAGATTTGTTGAAAGAATGAACATGATTTAGAATAATTCAGAAAATGGCATTGAGTTATATGATTCTCCTTGAAAACCTTGTTTAGAAACTGGACCCTACCACCCACAGATAAATATTATTTACTGAATTAATGAAGTCAACACAAATGTATTCTACTCACAGTAAGTCCCCATAAAGCTGTTCCCATTTTGTAAGTTAAAGGTTCATAAGACCCAAATACTCCTTTAATTTGTCCCATATACAATAGCAATAGGAAATACCACATGAGTACATGATAGATGCCAATCATAATCTGGATAACCTGTGAGAAGAGAGAGCTGTTAGAACTGAAATGAAATGGAAAACAATTTCAATAAACATTTAATATCTTTGTAAAAGATGGAGACAAGCTAGTCATGCATTAACTATGGAGTTCTTACTGGTTAACCAGACATAGGATCTGTTCAGGAAGGACAAGCCAAGGCTTGTGAAGAACTCTGGTGGTACATGAGGGACAAGCTAAAGTTTTCTTATTGAAAAATGATTATTAATTCAGAGCTTTTCACTGGGTTCTAGGAAGTCTCACTTATACCATCCCACTCACCAATCAATCAACCAAGCAACCAAGCAACCAAGCAACCAAGCAACCAAGCAACCAAGCAACCAAGCAACCAAGCAACCAGCTAATCAACTAGACTGCAGGATGCCACCATGTACCTTAATCAGACGAATCAAGGAAAGCAGATTAAGATATTTTGCTCTATTCTCAGAGTGGTCTATCACCACAGAGCTAAGAACTCCCATGCAACAGCTTGGATAGCTGGTCTGCATGGTCTGAAAACTCAGGAAAACCTGTGGAACAGTTTTCTCCCACTAGTTATGGAAGTGTGATTTCCCCCAACTTCTTGGTGTTTGTTAATAGAACTAGGTAAGCTTTAATTTCTTGGGTTTATAGCTGAACAGAAGTGTGTGTTCATCCTGCTGTACAGACGTGAGTGCAATAGAGAAAAGAGATCAATGATAGTTCTCCTTTAAACTAGCACACACACACACACACACACACACACACACACACACTTTTAAGTTTGATTATTATTCATATAGCTGTATTCCCTTGGGTGTGGGAATTCAGTTGATGTGCTCATATCTCAGCACACACTTGTTCATGAAGGGTCGGAAGACCAGGCAAAAGCTACAGAAGACAATCAGAATGTTTTTCAAAAAAACTTTTGCCTCTTAGTTATTCAAATACATTCTAGATACAAGGTCCCCCTTTTAAAAACCGGCATTGTTTAAAACACCGAATTTAGTCAATTAGAGTGCCCACCTCTAATAACTCGGGGATTTGTAGCCCATTCCCACTTGCTGTTCACTCTCCGATTCTTGAATGCATATGCAATGTGGACCTCCAAGTCCAAAGCCTCCTCTTCCTATCACCATGCCTCCCCTGCCTTCTGCAATTTCCTCCCCACCATGATGGACTGCATCCCTCAGGAATGGTCTGCCGAAACAAACCCCTTTGCATTCAGTTACTTTGGGGGATCTTGATCTCAGTAATGAGAAAGTATGACACTCACCCCTAAGATAACAATATTTGATGAAGATATTTTTGAATTTCCACATCCCATACTTTCAGAATTTCCTGTTTGATTTTGTTTCTAACCTTCGGTGATATCTTTATTACCAGACTTCTGTAAAAGAATACAAAACACATACACATGCTTTTTCTCAGAGAAAACTCTTACATCTGATTCTTAGTGCTTGTCAACAATCTTCCTAAACTCAGAGGTCACATTTTTTTCTTTCTATACTTTTACCTCTCACAGCCCTTAGTGCACAACTACCTGTTCTGAATAACAACTTCCAGAATGAAAAAGTCTCTTTCTATGATGAGGAAACACTGATATTTTGCACGCTACCCTTTGCTTCTTAACAACATTCCTAGATAATAAGAAATAAAGGTCAACTAGAGAATAGTATTGGAACATTTTCAGTAAAACTTCAATGATTCATTTATATTCACAATCAATTTATCGTAGTCATATTTTGCATTTTTTCTTTCAAAATTTGAGAATTTCATATATGAATATACAGTATTTCATAATTTATATCTCTCCTTCTCCCTTCAACTCCTCTTGTGCCCCCTGACACACTATTGAATTCATGCCCTCTTCTTTAATAATTAGTGGTGACATGAATATTTGCATATATGCATACACACATGCAAAAGTAATTAACAAAGGTCACGCCACTTGACTGATCATGTAAATGCTTTTCCTTGATCTTTTCTGAAAGAAGACCATTTTGACAAAATGATGCTGTGAGTTCAAATCTAATGACTTGATTATTTTAATGAATCTTTCATTTCCAAAATTCATTTTTCAATGTTTATTAATGCAACAATAGAGCAACAATAAGCTGTGTGATTTCAGACACTGTCTCCAAGAAGCAATCAAAAGTTGAGACTTAAAGGCAGCCAAACTTAATTTCTCTACCGTGACTAGATATGTACAGAACTACAGAACTTGTGTAGGGGAATAATGAAATGTCAAGAATGCTGTTAATTGCCACTTTCAGAAAAAGCCATTTTGTGCGTATGGATAAGTGTATTCACTTTTGTAGGACTCCAGTGGAAGCAGAATGTGGTAAGGTGGGGAATAATATATTCAGTGTCTCTGTAATCTCAAGGAGACCCACAGTAAAATCGCCCAAGTGAAGAACTCATAACTGGTCAGATTTCTTTATTTAAAAGAAAAACTAGATTTGGCTGCTCTACAAGCCAATTAAGCATCCTAATTCTGTAAAAATTAATAAATAATCACTTATTTTTTATTTTCTGGTAATCCCATCACTAACCTAGAAGCAGGTAAAGGACAAGTCCCTTAGCTGTTATTCCTAGCCTGAGTGTCACACGCTAAAACTAGCACAGATATTCTTGAACAATTAGCGAGATGATGCCTATCATTTATCCGTATCATTTTCAGCAGAGATAAAACCCCTTATTGTTTTTACATAAAGCTAAAGTAATTGAATAATGGATTTAAGAAGTAATTAATTTTTAATATTGGGCAGTTTCATTCATGTGTATAATGAATTTTAGTCCTTCTCACCCCCCTATGATTCTGTCTTATCTCCCTACCTTCTTCTGCCAAAACTCTTTATTGAAAGCAACAATTCCCTTGATGGCTTTCCTGTCTTTTTACTTGTCTGACCTGCTGAGTTAAATAGGGCCTTGATGAACATGCCTGGAATGTTATTTCTTGGATTCTGGGTTATACCACTATAGGAAATTATACCTTTTCTCTCAGATGTCAGTAACTGTCAATAGTCCCTCATGGTAGAGTGAAGCCTCTTGAGCCCTTCCCCCTCTCGTGATGAAAAAGTTGATGGCTCCAATCTTGTGTAGGTGATGTAGTGAGTTCTTGAGTGTATCAACCATGTTATGTCTGGAGGGTGATGTTTCACAGCCCCACCCTCAACTTTTGATTTTTAATCTCCCTACTTCCTGATCCATAATGTTCCTTGAGCCTTGGTGTGTGTGTATGTGTGTGTAAACATTAAAAAATTACTTTAAAAATTGTGTGTTAACATGTGTGTTTGAATGCCCATGGAAGAGGGCATTGGATTCCCTGGAGCTGGAGTTAAAAGTAGCTGTGAGCTTATTGGTATGGGTGCTGGGAATTGAACAACTCTGGTCTTCTACAAAAGCAGCAAGACTCATAACCACTGGACCATCCCACCAGCCTCAAAAATAAAAAGAGGAGAATTAAGTCTAAAATCTTCAGAGGACACACCAATTCCTTCATGAACAGCTTCCTCCCCTTCCCCACCTAACATGGCCATTCCAGTCTCACAGCCTAATAACTTCGGCAGTCACCTTTTCTGGAAAGCGTGCTGGTGTACAAATTAGCTAATACCCAGCTTGTTTTAACATTTTGGCCACAATTCCTGCCATGGGGTGTTCTAACTTTTGATCTTCAAGGCCAGTTCAAATTCTTTTTGCGTCCCCAGAAACCAAGAAATTCATTTCCATATGTTCATGACCAGTCCTGATTAGTTCCCTGGCCATTTGCACCCAACTGGCCCTTTCCCTTCTCCGTTTTCTGACTGACATTTTGCTTAAGGTGATTGGTGGGTAATCTTGATGTTATAGTGTTGTTAAATATTTTACTTTCCACCTCACTGCATGGCACTTCCCTATATGGGGACTCAGGGCTAGATGAAATCTAGAATGAATGGGTGAGAATGAATCGTTACTTTACTGGGAATTAATTGTGAGGCTGAGGCAGGGGAATTGCTCAGTCCAGGAATTCAAGAGCAATCTGGGCAACACAGAGAGATCCCACATCTCAAAACCTAAACAGAAATAAAGTGTTTTTTTAAAGGTTGAAATGAGAGGGCATAAAAGATGGAGAATGGAGATGTGCTCACCCTCTTCCTTCCCTCCTCACCCTCTTTTCTCCAGACTCCATGTCCATTTTGACATGTAGCAAAAGTAAAGCGGCACGCCATTACCTCGCATTTCACTTGTTTCAAGGATCCAGTTCACCCTATCAGGCCCAGGCACAAGCTGAGACAGATCACGCGGGATGGTACTCTCAGCGTTTGACCTGACTTCATAGCCATCAGAGGCAGCAGCGCACAGTCTAGCGCTCAGCTGGCTTTCAAGCTCCTCAGGCCTCCTGGGTTGTCAAGGGCAACAGCACACCGTCAGGGGGGGAGGGATGAGAACTAGTGCGCAGACTCACTGGGCCCTGCAGCCAGGCCGTGGGCCAACCCCTCAACCACCTGCTGAATCTCCAGCAATGGCTTTCCTGGACATGGATCCAAGATTGCCTTTCAGGGGTACTTCTCCCAATATAGAACGGTTGCAGAGACCTTCACCACACACTTCAGAAGGTTTCAGCTTGTAAAAAGGCAAGTATCGGAGCTAATAATTCACTCCCTCTCCACCTTCTTCCAAATAAAAATGGCTCAAGAAATTAATGAAGAGACTGTTTAGGAAAGGCCAAAAGGGCTTTTCTGACTTACTCGCTGAGGAGGTCTTACTTTGTGTGCGGTAGTTCAATGTTTGTGAAGAGAAATGTAAAGAAGTATAGATAGCTGTGAAAAGATAAGGAGGAGTCAGATCCAGGAGGGCAGATGAGGAGACTGGGAGGGAGAGCAGTGTTCTCTGGTAAGCAAGGCCACTCTGCCGAGCTCTGAGGACTCCTGAAGGGCAGTGGAAGCAACCACAGCATGCTTGACCTTAAAATTCTGGATTACATCGCAAATATTTAGTGGATGATGATTAAATCATTTTATCTCATAAAGAATTAACTACTTAATAAAGCTTAACTACTCAAGAGTCAATAGGCAGAGTTTAAAGTTATTGAGGGCCTACCATGCTTTCTATAGCATCGGAAAATGAATCAGAAATCGAGTGACTTTGTTTTTTAATCTCATAGCTAACTTCCTTATATCGAGACTCTGAAGAGTCTTCAGATAAGAGAAAATAAATCACCAAGACTCTCTTACTCTTCGAGTTGTTTATTGGTTGAAATGTCATTAAGGGTTATTAGTTTTATTGTTTCTCTCTCTCTCTCTCTCTCTCTCTCTCTCTCTCTCTCTCTGTGTGTGTGTGTGTGTGTGTGTGTGTGTGTGTGTGTGTGTGTGTGTGTGCATGCCATGGATGTTTGTTGAGTTCAGAGGGCAACTTGCTAGTTTTCTCCTTTCACCATGGAGGAGCCAACTGGTTTGGTTTTATCTTTAAGTAGTGTAGTACATTAGTGTTCTCACAGGGACATTAGTGTTCCTTTTGTTTTATGTATGAGAATGAATGGTATTAGGCACACTTTGTATTCCAGAAAGGGCAACAAAGTTGAGTGCATCATCAACTTCAAAGTTAGGGATTTAGTAGAACTCTCAAGTAGAGTCAGTTCTGAATAGATGGACCCTTCTCCTTCTTGTCATGTACTGTCAAGATTGGTGTCTCTTTTTCTTTCACCAAAACTATCTGGAAATGAACTTAGATTTGACCGTTTTGTTACATGGGCCCATGTGTATTCAATATGAGTACAGGCAAGAATAAAGGAGCCATACACAGAGATACAGTCAAGTATTCCTCAGCGGTCCTAGCACAGATCAGTAACTAGCACTGATTTGTCCCCCACAACCCCCATCACCTAGACTTAGGAATTTATAGATCATGTCTTTTAAATTTTTATCATTTGGTTTTGTGAAGCTTATGTCCTTTAATGCTGAAGATGTAAACAGCCATAGTCTGACCAGCAGGAGGACTCACTTTTAACCTTTGTCACGTCAAATATTTCTTCCCTTGGGTCATAGTTTTAAATTCTCTTAAATTGGTTCCCAGGATACAAAAGACATTGAGAGAGAATGTGCTGGAGCCACCATACCTCTATAGTGTCCTTCATGTCTCTTATAGGAGGCCCCTATAAGGATCCTGTTGGGTGTCAGCCCTGATAAAATAAAACCATGTCCAAGTTGCTAGGAGGAATTTTGTTTTACAGACACACAAGAGAAAACAGAAATTTTGTCTATGTAAAACTGGGTGTTTCCTTTTCCCAATGGAGTCTTGCTGGGTATACAAAGCACATTAAAGGCAGGCTCAATGCCCACCTGTAGATGGTCAACACAAGATTAACTCGATGCTATTTTTGGAAGGTTTTTTCTCTCACAATGCTTTGTTTGGACTTTTAAAGTCTTACAGTTCTTTTGCTTATATATTATCGTTTCTGGTTTTGTTTCAGTAGGTTTTCTGTGTGTGTGAATGTATATGTCTCAGCATGTGCATGTGTTTCTTGTACCTTTTTTGGGCTCTTTTTCCCCTGTTTGTTTGTTTTGTCCTATCCTGGTCTATTTGTTTTTATGTTCTTTTATTAGTAATTTTATTATTTTAGGTGCCTGTTTGTATTCTAATGAGAGATAAAAGAAAAAGGTGTGAATTTGAGTGGGTAGGGCTATGGGGAGGGTCTGAGAGGAGTTAGGGGAGGGGAAACCATAATCAGAATATATTGTATAGAAAAAGAATTGATATTTTCAATTAAAATATTAACTTCCACTTATATGCCTTATAGTGAAACAGTTCTGTTGTTAGAAGACAAATTCCCTTCCTTACTGGAGACAATTTGGTAAAATATGAGTTGTAATATTCATTGACTCTGACCTAGCTGAACATGTCTGAGTATTTCCAGGCTCCCAAGCTTACAGAATTCTGAACAATGATGCTTGGCACTTGAACTTAGAATAGGGGAAAGCATTGTGTAGCTATTGTAGCTCAAGATAGTAACTGTCTACTGGAAATAAAATATGCTGAAAACTGATTTAAAAATGAAAGAGTGGACTGGAGAGGCAGTTTGTGGTAAAACACTCCTTTGTGGTGCAGGCATGAGGACCAGAGTTTGAATGCTCAGAACCCATGTAAGAGCCAGATCAGGCAGCATGCATCTGTAACCCCAGCACTGGGGTCCAGGAATTACTCCAGGCCCCAGCAGCATCTGGAGTGGGAAATGCTAGTCTATATGAGAAGCTAAAAAGTGGCATTCCATAATGCAATTTCCATAAGGTCACCAGCCATGTTAGGTTGGTGTTAGTTCCAAAGTAGCACCCCAAATGGCAGTGCCGGTGACATTGTCCTAAACACAAGAATTTTAGACAGATAAACAAAAAGACTGACATCAGGTAAACCAACCTAAAAATTGGTGTCAGGTAAGTAGCAGGTTTCTGTTTATCAGAAAAGCAGATGGCCTAAGGCAGGTTCTTGTTTGGAAGAAACCTCCCTTAATCTTCCCCCAAAGGTCAACAACTATGGGTAAAGGCACCTAGTTCCCAATCAGTCTGAACAGCCTGTAACAACTCAAAGACACCACACTGATGACGAAGAAAATCTGCTTGCTTTTCAGCCATTTTGCCCTTCTCTCAATCCCTGGGAGATAGAGTTTGTAGTTTGATCCCCAACAAACCTTTCTTTCTACCCACAAAACAAACAAGCAAACACCTAGGAGTTTTTTTATTGTGAAAGCAGAAGTAAACCTATCTCAATTGGAGATTGCGTCATATGTGTGCTGTGCTCACAGACACCAGAAGAGCCATTGGAACCAGTTATGGATAGGTGCTGGGAATCCAGCCCAGGTCTTTGTAAGAGCAGCCAGTGTTCTTAACCTCTGAGATATCTCTCCAGCCCCACCTGGCTTTCATTCTTAAAATAGTTTATTGAATTTCACCAGCCCAGCCATGTTCCAGGCAAACTCTTTGTTACAACACTTGTTTCCGGGTAAACACCACACCTACAATTTAACGTTGTATTTCACCACTTCTGCTCCCCCAGTTACTCATTAGCTCTTCAGGTTATGATATGGACTTTTAATTTGAGTGTCACTTCATATGCCCATTCAGTACTCACTCCTAGTTTACAATCCTAATTTCACAGATGAGAAAGCCAAGTTGGAGAGTAATACAGTGGATTATACACAGCCATTCCTGGACCTGGTGATTTCTCAACAGTATTCTTTACACTTGTGCCTGTCACAAGTCAGACTCTCTCCTAAGGATGGCTTGGAGGAAATAAGGGGTGAGGTCATAAACTCTAGAGCTCATTTAGATTGCTGGAATAAAACTCTTAACTCAGGTGGGTATACACTAGATGATTGTGGAGAAGTCCCTTAACATCTCAAATCTCTCATTTTTAAACATGAAAAAGAAAAATCAATGATATATGCATCACAGGAATGCTATAATGCTGAAATAAAGTAAGTTACATTGTCCTAACAATATAGATGCCAAAAAGGAGGCAAATAGTTTGTAAATCAGTAATTTTCATTACCAAATGATATTCAAGTGATGTAGAAATTGCAAGAAAACTGTATGCATATATAGATGCCTGTGTGTATGTACATATGTATATTTATAGTACATTTAACACATATGTATATATAAATTTTATATAGTGGTATTTGGCCAGAAAGCAGTAGTTCAATATATTTTTGATGCAATTAAGTGAATAAATGAATGCTTCTTAAAATGTGCCAGAATGAAATTAGTGGCAATTATGTAACCTCTATGTGGGGACATATTTCTGTTTCAGTCACTACTCAGGTATCAGCTCACAGAAATAAGTTTAGAAAGCTTAGAGACATTTAAATGTTTAACCTGACTTTATTGTTTAATACATTTATGTAATATCCTTTTGATATTGTTTTATATATAACATAAACTATAAATTTTGTTGTTTATTTTTAAATAATATGTATGCTTAGCCTCTATTTGATTTTGCTCCCCACTGGCAGCTTAACATTATGTGGTACAAGCTTCCAACAATGGGGATGGAACCTTGTCTATTTTTCTCCAGTACAGGAAACGCTGCCCTCTAGAGTAGGAGTTCAGTAAATACTCCATGTGTGAATGGATGACTGACTCCTATGCAGATAAAATTATGGCTGTATAAGAGATTAATACTTATAGTGGGAGACTTCAAAACCCCACTCTCACCACTAGACAGGAATACCAGACAGAAACTCAACAAAGAAGCAAAGGGTGTAATAGAAGAAATGACCTAATCGACATTAACGGACATCTATAGAACATTCCATCCACATAAAAAAAGAATATACCTTCTTCTCACCACCACATGGTACCTTCTCAAAAATCTACCACATACTTGGCAACATATCAAACCTCAGCAGCATCAAAAAAATT